ATACTCGGCCGAGCGCGACGAAACAGCGACGACTCCGAGCGGTCGCGGTTGAGCCATGTGCGCGTTCTTCCAGGACGTCGGCACGGCGTTCAAGGACCTCGCCGAGAACGGCATGAACCTGGACAAGCTCCAGGACGAGGTCGGCGTCGACGCCCGCGAGCCGCTGCCGAAGCCGCCGCCGCTGCGGTCGACGCCGACCAAAGCGCTCGCCGCGGAGGCCGCCGAGCCGGCCCCGGCGGCGCCGGCGCCGCTCGCCGAGGCGACGGAGGTCGCGCGGCAGCGCGCCGAGCAGCTGCTCGCGCAGAGCGGCGACTTCTTCGCGTCGGCCGGCGAGAAGATGAAGCAGGCGGGCGAGAAGATTAAGGAGGACACGCGCAAGAACCTCGGCCTCGCCGCCGACCTCAGCGGGGGCTTCCCCCGCGCGCCCGAGGCCGCCGCGGCGCCCGCCGCGCCGCCGGCGGCCGCGCCGGCCGCGCCGGAGCCCCCGGCGCCCGCCGCCGCGACGCCCGCGTCGCCGAAGCCCGCGGAGAAGGCCGCGTCGCCCTGGGCGTCGGCGCTCGCGGCGCCGCCCGCGGCGCCCAAGCCGCCGACGCCCGCGGCCGCCGCGCCCACGCCCGCGGCGCCCAAGCCCGCGGCGCCCAAGCCCGCGGCGCCCAAGCCCGCGGCGCCCCGGCCCGAGCGGAAGGCGCGGGCCCCGAAGCCCGAGGCGCCCCCCAAGCCCGCGGCGCCCAAGCCCGCGGCGCCCAAGCCGGCCGAGTCGCGGCTCGCCGCGGCGTTCAAGAGCACGACGTCGGCGCTCGCGGGCGCGCCGCGCGGCTCCTCCGCGCGCGAGCGCGCCTGGGAGGCCGAGGCCGCGGGACGGGTCGCCGACGCGGCGCGTCTCGAGGCCGAGGTCGTGGAGCTCCGGAGCGGCGCCGCGCGCGACGCGGAGGCGCTCGTGAAGCTCCGGCGCGAGGCCGCGGGCACGCGGCGCGCGGCGGACGTCGCCCAGGCGGAGCGCGACGCCTGCGCGGCGGAGCTCGAGGCCGTCGCGCTCCGGGAGGTCGACGCGTTGCAAGCCGAGGTCGCGTCGCTCCGGCGCGAGCGCGCGCGCGCGGACGGCCTCGAGAAGAAGCTGCGGGACCGCCAGGTCGCCGAGGCATCCTCGAAGAGCGACGCCGGCGCCCTCGAGGCCGCGAGGCACGAGCTCCGGTCCGCGAAGCTCCAGCTCGAGGCCGCGCGGCGCGCGGCCGCCGCGGCCGCGCGCGCGCAGCGCGCGGAGGCGGACGTCGCCGCCCGCCTCGCGGACGAGGCCGCGCGCGAGCTCCGGGCGTCGCGGTCGCGGGCGTTGGACGCCGAGGCCGCGCGCGACGCGGCGCTCGACAAGCGCGCGTCGGCCGCGTCGGCCGAGGAGGGTCGCCGCGCGGCGTCGCGGGAGGCGGACGCGCTCGCGCGCGACGCGGGCGAGCTGCGGGGCCTCCTGCGGTCGGCGCTGCGCGAGAAGCGGCGCCTCGAGGTCGCCGTCGACGAGCTCAAGGGCGCCGAGGTCAAGCTCCGGGGCGACCTCCGCGACACGCGCGGCGAGCTCGACGCGGCGCGCGCCGCGGCGCGCGACGCGCGCGCGGCGCTCGTCGGCGGCGCGGCGCCGCGCGCGGCGCCGGCGGCCCCGGGGGCGTCGTCGGACGCGCGCAACGCCGAGTACCTGCGGTCCGTCGTGCGCACGGCCCTTCCGAAGCACGGCGCCGCGGACGGCGCGACGACGACGCGGCTATTGCCGGTGCTCCGGTCGCTGCTGGGCCTGCCCCACGACCACGTCGCGCACAACCTCGACGCCCTGGGCGCGACGGGCTCCGGCGGCGAGTTCGCCCTCGCGCTGCTCAACGCGGCGGCGGCCAAGGCCGGCGGCGGCGCCGCGGCCGACCCGGGCGACGCCGCGGAGCGCGCGGAGCTCCGCGCGGAGCGCGACGCCGCGCGCGGCGCCGCGGCGGACCTCCGCGCCGAGCGGGACGCGTCGGACCGCGCGGCGGCGGCGCGCGACGGCGAGCGGCGGGCCTACGTCGCGAACCTCGAGGCCCGCGTCCGCGCGGCGCTCGAGGGCGCCGCGGCGCGCGCCGCGGCGCAGGACGACCTCGAGCGCGTCGCCGCCGAGGCGCACCGCGCGGCGCTCCACGCGCTCGACACGGCGCGCAACACGGAGACGGACGCGCGCGCCGCGCGCGCCAAGGCCGACGCGGGCCTCGACGGCGAGCAGCTCGAGTACCTCCGCACGACGATCGTCTGCTTCCTCAAGGCCCGCGAGCCCCTCCTCAAGAAGCAGCTCCTCCCCGTGCTCGCTCGCGTCCTCAAGCTCGACCCCGCCGACGAGCGCGCGGCCGCGCTCCTCGACGTCGTCGTCTAGGCGCCACGATAAAGATTTCGGCGAATCACAAGTTAGTCAGAAGCCGCCGGGGGGGCACCAGAACTCGACGACGAGGCCCGCGCAGTCGTCCGGGAAGCCGGGCTTGCCGGTGCATTTGGTCACGAGGCCGACGAGCACGCGTTTGTGAGCGCGCGCGTGCTCCCGCCAGCCGCCGCGGGCTTTGACCTGGTCGACGAGGCGGCGAGCGGATTCGCTCTGTTCCCATCCGGCGGGCCATTTATTCGGAATCACGGCGCCAGCGCGGAGTAATAGCTTCGCTAGTTTGCGGTGGTCTAATCGGACGGCGGCCCAGATTAGCGTTCCACCGTATTTGTCTGCATCGTTGACGCGTGCACCAGCTTGGATCAGGAGCGAGGCACAGGCTATCTTCCTTTGTTCTGGCACGCTGCCTTGCCCCACCTTGAGCAAAGGCGTCGTAGAATCTCTTGTGCTCTTCGCGTTGACATCGGCGCCCGCGGCGACAAGGAGCGCGATGCAACGGGGGCAACAAGCAACATATGTTGCCATGTGCAGCGGAGTCCACCCGTCGCAACCATTGCGGTTTTCGAATTTTATGTTCACATCAGCGCCGTGTTCGAGCAGGAGCGCCACGGCATCAGCATTGCCACTGTCGGCAGCGATGTGCAAGGGTGTCATTCGAGGACTACCATTCCCTGCGTTCACATCCTGTCCCTCTGCGAGGAGCGCGCGCAGCCGCGCGCAATCGCCTTCCCGAGCCGCGGCCCAGAACGAGCTCATCGTACTACGGCGTCGCGCTGGCCGTCGCGCTCGCGGGCGCGCGCGCGGGTCTCAAAGCTCGGTCAAAGATGGCTCGAGGCTAAACTTTCCTCGACATTGCCGAGGTGTTGTAGAAGTCCTTGGGCAGCCCGATCTCAAAAAAAGCGAGCGAGCACAGAGCCTAAAAAAATTCGCAACACGATGATGATGCGCACGACGCTGCCCGCCATGCTCCTGCGCGTGTCCCTGCTCGTCGCCGCGGCGCGCGCCGAGCTGTACAAGGGCAAGCCGAAGCCCGAGTACACGGCGCTCCAGAACTCGGGCCGCGACCACCTCGCCGGCGGCAACGTGACCGCGGCCCTCGCGGACCTGCGCGCCGCCGTCGACGTCCACCCCAACTCGGAGCCCTTCGCCTGGGAGATCGGCGTCGCCCTCTACTACGCCGACGACTTCGCCGGCGCCGCGGCCCACTTCGCGCTGATGCACGCGAAATCACCCAACGCCGAGGCGGTAATCTGGCACGGCGCGTGCCGCGACCGCCTCAGGCCCGCGCCGCGGCCCGCGGCGCTCGACCTCGGCGACGCGAAGCGGGACCCGTTCCTGGAGCAGGTCGTGGCGCTCTTCGGTGCCGGTGGCGACGACGACAAGGCGAAGGCGCTGGCCGCCGTCGAGGCGGAGACGATCCCGCCGTCCGCGGACGTCCCCAAGAACGCGAAGAACCGCGTCTTCGAGCGGAAGCTGTACTACGCCCACCTCTACCTGGCGCTCTACTTCGACGGCGCGGACGCACAGCGGTCCAAGTGGCACGCGCGGCTCGCGACGCGGTCCGCGTACGCGACGAACTCGCGGCGCGAGGACTACGAGTTCTACACCAAGGACCCCGCGGGCCGCGTCGCGGACACGCACGCCAAGCTCCGCGGCGCCGATCTGAAGCCCCAGTGCCCCTGCGCCGACGCCGCCGACTTCCGGGACCTCGCGGGCGAGCCGTGCGCGGCCAACGCCGGCGCCGACTGCGTCGCCGCGCGCAACGCCGCGGACCCGGAGTGGGCCGACGCCTACGCGCTCGTCATCGACGCCTGCCCGCGGACCTGCGGCCTCTGCGCCCACGACGAGGGGGCACCGTGCCCGGAGCCCAACGCCGAGTTCGAGTGGGAGCTCGCGGCGACGAGCGACTACCTCAAACGGGCCGCCGCGGCCGAGGAGGCCTACAAGAAGAAGATGGCCGACCTCGCCGAGCAGGGCGACGAGGCCAACCTCGACGCGCGGGCCAAGCTCTCCCCGGCGGCCGCCGAGGGCGTCGAGAAGCTCCGCGCGAAGCGCGCGGCCAAGAAGGAGGCGAAAGCGGAGCTTTGAGGGCGCAAGGCGCGACGCTCCCTGGTCGCTGGCCTTACGCTAACCTTCGCCACTTACGACGCGTCGTCCTCGCAGTCGGAGAAGGTCCGCGCGACGCCGTCGGCGTCCGTCGCGAGGACGAGCGCGCGGATCCAGTGCTGCGTGTCCGCGAGGTCCGCGCCCGCGCAGGTGACGCGCCGGCCGCCGGCGACGAGGGCGAAGGCGCCGCCGTCGCGGGCGAGGTCCACGGCCGCGCCCGCGAGGTCGACGGCGTCGACCTCCGACCCGTCTAGGTCGAAGACGCGGAGCGCGCCGCCGCCGAGGAGCGCGTGGCGCCGCTCGCCGTCCACGGACAGCGGCCCGCTCTTGTGCGTCGCGTAGAAGTCGTCCGCGTCGCCGTCGTCCGCCGGCGCCGGCGGCGGCGCGCGGCCCGCGCGGCCCGCGAGGCCCGCGGCGGCGAGGAGCGACCAGCGCGGCGGCCGCGGCTCGCCGTCGAGGGACGCGTCGCGCGAGTCCGCGTGCATGTGCCAGAGCCCGAAGTGGGAGCAGTCCAGGCCCTCCGCGTCGACGTAGTCGAAGCGCGGGTAGAGGTCGTAGGCGATGTAGAGCACCGCGCCCGCGAGGAGCACGGTGAAGACCAACGTGAGGATGAGCCCCGTGAACTTGGGGTACTTGAGCCAGCCCAGCGTCGCGCCGCTGAGCACGATGAACGCGCAGCCCGCCCAGAAGAAGTTGAGCGCGACCTCGCGCTCCGCGTACATGCCCCGGATCGCGCGCTTCTGCTCGTGCTCGCGGCCGCGGATGGCGAGCTCGGGCCCGAAGATCATGCTGTACATGGAGATCATGACGCAGGCGAAGTTGCAGGCGATGCCCAGCGTCGTCAGCGTGAAGTAGACCGTGATGACCTCGAAGTTGTTGAAGAGGTAGCCCCGCCCCGGCGCGTTCCGGAGCCGGTCGCAGCCGATGAGGTCGCTGCAGTACTCGCCGTAGGAGTCGCCGCGCCCTAAAAAGTTCGTCGACATGGTGAGCGCGCCGAAGCCCAGCGACGCGAGGAACGTCGCCGTGCCGGCCAAAACGCCGAACTGGTCCGTGAAGAGGGCGACCTCCTTGTTCCGGATGTGGATGACCGTCTGCGCCAGGCGCGTCTGCAGCTCCAGGGCGTCGACGGCGATCATCGCGCTCCGGCGCGCTCGCGGCTCCGGACGGCGGCCAGAAGGGCTGCCTCTATGCTGCTCTCGCGCGCAGGCCGGACGCGCCGCGGCGTTGCACAGGAACATGAACCCCGCGCAGGAACCTTGAACTTCCCCAAAAGTCGAAACGCGCAAGATTAGCCCCCCGTCCCGTAGAAGTGCTCGGCGATGAAGGCGTCGAGGCGGAGGTTGTCGGAGGACACGCCCGGGAGCTTGGCGACGGCGCCGACGAGGAAGCGGAGGTCGTCGACCGCGCGCGTGCGGCCGTCGTCCGTCTTCGGCCGGACGTTGGAGAAGACGGCCGGGAGCTTCTTGTTCAGGAGCTCGAAGATGTTGGAGCAGACCTCCTGGAGCTGGTCCGGCGGGAGCTGCTTCGCGAGGACGCCGTGGAGCGCGCCGAGGTTCCGCGCGACGTCGCCGACGAAGGGCGCGGCCGGCGGCGGCCCCGCGGCCGCGTCGTAGTCCGCCTTCTCGAGCGACGGCGCGGCGGCGTCGATCATCTCGTGCATGATGGACACGAACTTGGACAGGATCTTCTTGTGGTGGTCCAGGTAGTCCGCGGCGATCTTGTCGAGCTCGGACAAAAGCCCGCGGTGCTTCTCGGGCAATAAACGGTGCAGCGCCGCGGTCGCGTGGGGCAGCAGCGCAACCACTAAACCCAAACACTGGCTCGCGAGCCCCAGGTGCTTCGCCGTGATCGTCCGCAGCCGCGCCGACGAGTGGATCGCGCCCGCGAAGAGCACCAATTGCTTCGTCCGCGACTCGAAGAACCGGAGCAGGTCCACTACTCTTTCCAGCACGTCCGTCGCGAGCACGGGGAAGGACGCGGCGACGCGCAATTCGTCGAAGGCCATCTGCAAGAGCACGAGCGTCGACCAGACGACCTTGTAGCGCCGGCCCTCGACGACCGCCGTGTTGAGGTCCCGTTTCTTGCCGCCGGCGACGGCCGGCGGCGGCTCCGGCGCCGCCGCGACGTCGTCGTCGTCGCCGCCGTCGAGGAAGAGCTTGCCCGCGGCCAGCCGGTCGAAGGCCCGCTGGCGGTCCGGCGCGACGTCGACCTGGGACCACTTCTCGCTGTCGAGCGCCAACGCTAAATCCGTCTTGTGCCGCGTGTGCGTGTGCTCGAGGAACGCGCGCGCCTGGCCCAGGAGCGCGGACCGCAGGGCGAAGGCCGTCGACCCGGAGCAGCGCTCGACGCAGACGGCGAAGTCCAGCGCCGCGTCCCAGACGTGCTTGAGCTCCGGCAGGGGCACCTTCGCGTGCGCGTCGCGCCGGAGGTGCAGCAGCTTGCCCACGCGCTTGAGGGCCGCGTCGCAGACGGCCCGCGCCGCCGCGTGGTTCGCCTTGAACAGGTCCGCGTGGTCGCCGGCCTCCGGCGGGTCGCGGAGGCTGCCGGCGTCGTTGACGAGGCGCCGCTCCGGGTCCAATCCTCTACCGTCCGCCGCGCCCGCGTCGACCATGGCCCGCAGGCCGTTGTGGAGCGCCACGGCGGCGAGCACGTCGCCCAGGAGGTGCTCTAAACAGATCTCGAGGCAGCTCCGGAAGGCCGCCGCGTCGAGCGCGGCGCGGTCGCCGCCGTTTTCGCCCGCGGGCGGCGACGCGGACCGCGCGCACTCGGCGACGGCCGTCCGCGCGGTCTCCTTGAAGTCGTCGTCGCAGCGCTGGGCGTACTTGGCCAGCACGGTGCCCATCTTCCCGTTGGCCACGAGGCCGCGCACGAGGGGCTGGAGCGCGCCGACGCGCGCCGCGCGGCGCCCCGCGGCCTTGGCCAGTAAGAGATCGGGCCCCGCGAGGCCCGGGGGCACCGGTGGCGCATCCCGCGCCTCCCAGGACGACGCCACGGCGTAGGCGGACCACTCGTTGCCCATGTAGGACACGGCGAGCTCCTGGAACTGGGCGAGGTGGTGCGCCGTGTGGCGGAGGCATTCGACGCCCTTGAGCTCGCCGTCGAGCGTCTTCCGCGCGGCGGCGATGACCCGGCAGGTCTCGGGAAAGTCCTCGGCGAGCATGAGCTCCCGCGCCTTCTCCGAGGCCTTGACGACGTCGCGCATGAGCCGCACCTTCGACTGTAGCGCGACGAGATTCGACTGCTTGCACGCGAGCCGCGGCACGCGCATCGTGCCCTGCACGGCCTCGCACTGCATGTCGCGGATGCGTGTCCTAAGATCCTTCACCTCGCCGCAGGTCTCGCGCACGCGCGCCCAGAGCTCCTGGAAGTTGCCCAGCGCGCGGAAGAACTCGTCGGACGACCGGCCGAGCTGCCCCACGAGCTGGCCCTCGACGACGTCGAGGTAGCCGCCGAGCTCCTCGCCGGGCGCCGCGCGCGCGTCGGGCGCGCCGCCGGCGTGGCCGAAGGCCGGGCTCGCGTCGCGCAGCGCGAAGTTTTGCTCGAAGAAGCCCGCGGGCACGGCGGCGAGCTCCGCGGCGCGCGCGTCGGCCTCCGCGGCGTCCGCCGCGCCGTCGCACTCGCCGCCGTCGGCGTGGTTCGCGGCGAAGCGCGCCATGAGGCGGCCCATCTCCGGGCTCGTCATGGACCGGAAGTCGTCGAGCGCGATCGCGCGGCCCGCGGACACGTCGACGCGGTTGCTCGCGCCGCCCGCCGGCGACTCCTCGAAGAGCGACGCGAAGGACGGGAAGAGGCTCTCGCGCGGGTTGTGGAGCACGGCCTTGAGGGACACGCTCGGCTCCACGGACGCCTCGCGCGCGCCACCGTCCCGCGCGAAGGACCGCTTCATGGCGCGAGATGCGCGAGGCGCGGCGAACACCTAGCGCGCCGCCGTCGAGGCGGCCCAGGCGCGGACCGGCTGGTGGCGAGAGGACCGGAGTCGTTCGAGCGCTCGGCGCTCTAGCGCGCGGCCGCTGCGCCGAGCAGCAGCATGACTGGTCGCATCGTCGCGGCCGGCGCGCGCAGACGCAGACGCCGGGGGTGTCGTGGGTGTAATGGGTGTCTCGAGCCTGTCTCGCGCGCCGGCAGGCTGCCGCTGCCGAAGGCCTTGCCGATCACACACTGATCACACACGCACCCTCGTTACTGGAGGTCGAGCTCCCGGTGGCCGTAGCCGAAGCGGGCCTTGTGGTCGTCGTAGATGGCCTGGAGCGCCGCGACGTAGCGGCCGTGCCAGTGCGCGACGTCGTCCGCCGTCGGTTGCTCGATCTTCGGCAGCTTCACCGGGTGCGCGATGACCGTGTGGAGCGCGACGTCGTCGCGGGGCAGGAGCGGGCAGTACCAGCGCGGCCCCCAGAAGACGGGGATCACGAAGCCCGCGTGCTTGAGCGTGAAGAGGCACAGCCTCCGGTAGAGCGGGTGTTGGAGGGACGCGTAGATGTCCGACTCGCCGAACGTGAACGCGGGCTGGAGGTTGTAGCCGTGCTGCAGCGCGTACTTGATGAAGCCCGCGCGCTTGCGGATGAAGACGCGGTCCCGGTTCTGCGAGTAGAGCGCGACCTCCTCCATGCCGCCCGGTAGGATCCCGAAATCCAGATTCTTCCGGAAGAGCGAGAACATGCCCTGTTTCGTCGCGGGCGTGCAGCACCCGAAGCCCAGGAGCGCCTGGCGCAGGAGCGGGATGCGGAAGAGCACGGGCGCCATGACGCCGTCGCAGGACCGCTTCCGCGCGTCGTCGAGGTTCTCCGCGAGCTCGGCGCCGCAGTACCGCGCGTCGTCCTCCGCGCGGAAGCGCACGGCGCCGTTGAGGCTGAAGCCGAAGCCGATGGACGTGCCGTGCGGGTGCATGCACCACATGCTCCGGTGCGCTCTCATCTGCGCGAGCGCGCCCCGGTCGACGTGCATGTAGACGCCGCGCCGGAACCAGCCCGCGGCCTTGAGGTAGAACGCGCTCCACTTCGGGCTGTGGGACCCGAAAAAGCCGCTGGCCGCGACGGCCGCCAGCAGGGCCGTGCCCGCGACGCGGTAGGTCTCCGTGCAGGCGAGGCCGACGCCGACGACGGGCAGGCACGGGCCGACCATCATGCAGAGCAGGATGGCCAGGATGGACGCGGCGCCGCGGACCTGGCCCACGTCCGGCTCGAGCCGGTGCGTGATGAGGTCCGTCGCCTTGCGCGGCAGGCCGTCGCTCGTGTGCGTCTTCTCCATCCTTGGACGGCGGCCCCAGCTCGGCTGTGTTCCCAGTGTGGTACCTAACAAATCGGCGATCGTTGAGTTCAAGTTACCGCGACGTGTCCCTAGCGCCGGCGGCGCAGGCGCGGCTTGCGGCCGCCGACGAGCTCGCTCTTGAAGACCGTGCCGCAGTTCGTGCGGCGCAGGTCGACGCGGCGCTCGTGGTGGAGCGTGTCGAAGCCGTACGCGTCCGCGAGGACGTCGAGCGCGCGGCACTCGAGCTGCTGGAGGTACTTGACGGGCACGTAGCCCGGGCTGCGGATGACGTTGACGAGGACGGGCCGCGGCAGGTGCGGCAGCAGGCGCCGCCCGACCATCTCGTCGAGCGTGAGCTCGAGCTCGGGCCCGAGGTCCGCGGGCACCTGGGCGGGAAACGGGTGCGAACTTCCCAACCTCGAAGGCTCCGATCTCGGTCAGTTTCCACTCGTTTCGGCTGATTTTTGGACGAGCGATCATCCCTTGGAGCGCTCTCGAAGCGTGGATCCTGTCTCTGGAACGATCGCGCGCGGAACACTCACGTTGAAGCGACGTCGAATCACCCTTTCGCGGCCCCGGCGGGCGCGTGGAACGGCTGCTCGAGGAACATCTCGATGGACTGGACCGTGCGCCGGGGCGAAGCGTGGGCGCCGGCGAGCGTCGCGGCGAAGTCCTCCAGGCGCCGGCGCCGCGCGGGCGCCAGGCCCCGCGCCCTCGACGCCGCGGCGACGTCCTCCGCGAACGCGGACGACGGCCGCGCGCCGCGCGCGGCCTCCGTCGCGGCGCGCGCGGCGGCGTCGAAGGCCGTGTCCGCCGAATTTTGCGGGCGCGTCGCGGGCCGCGTGCGGCCGCTCCGCAGGAAGTCCAGGCCCATGTCGGGGAAATTCCACGTGAGGTGGTACAAGATCGACAGCGCCTCGTCGTCGACACCGTAGTCGCGCCGCGTCGCCACGGCCCCGATGGACTCCGTGGCGAAATAGTCCAAGTCCACGTCCAACACAAAAGGCTTCGACGCGTCGACCATGGCGACGACGCGCTCCGGCATGTCCGCGAGCTCCGAGAAGACGACGGACACGCGAAAGTGGCGCACCCTCGACAGCGTCGCGACGCCGCCGACCCGCGGCTCCCCGTCGCGCCAGAAGATGTGGCCGAAGCGGTCCCGCCCGAGGCGCCGCGCGTCGCCCGCCGTCGCGTCGACGCGGATCCGGTTCGCTCCGTCGACGCCGATCGCGAAGTCGAACGTCGCCGAGTCCTCGTAGACGCAGCAGCGGAACTGGTTGCTCCAGGGCGGCTCGACGAAGATGAGGTGCTCCGCGAGGCCCTCGAAGGCCGCCAGCACGAGGAAGTCGTTGATCTCCGCGTAGCGGTCCAGTTGCTCGCCGTCGAAGCCCACCGGCGGCGGCCGCGGCACGCCCATGTCCGCGTGCGAGTCGAGGTGCAGGATCGTCGCGCCGCCGTCGACGGGGAGCGTGCCCGCCCACTTCTCGCGCACGTAGTACGGCAGGACGTGGTGGTGCTCCTCGACGACGCCCACGCGCATGTCCTGCGGCGGTGTCTCCTCCGCCTTTCGCGGCGGCGGCGCCGCCTTCTTTTCCGTCGGCGGCGCGGGCGCCGCCTCCGGCGTCTTCGGCGGCGGCGGCGGCGGCGGCGTCGCCGGCCAGAGGACGAAGGCGGCGCCGGCGAGGGCGACGGCGCCGAGCGCGATGAGCGCCGGCGACGGGGAGGACTTTGCCTTGGCGCCGCCCTTCTTCGCGTGCGGCGGCCGCCGCTTCTTGTCTTCCTTGCGCACGCGCATCGGTGAGGACTGCGACTGCTCTCGAGGCTGCGATGCTCTATGCAGCCGCTACGCGACAAGTCGCTCTAGGCTGCTGGCACCATGCCTCGGCCGGCACGAATTCTTCAACACGAACTCAGGCCAACATTGCCGTAGTATTGCAGTTCCTTACTCGCAGTACTCCCCAAAGATGCAGGCGCCGCTGCAGCACGCCGTGGCGTTGGGGCATGGTGTCCCGGGTTGCAGACAGGACGACCTCGCGTTGGCCTCGGGCTCCTTCGCGCAGACGGAGGGCGGGTGGCGCTTGGCCCAGGGCGACGCGCAAAAGGCCGCGTAGTCCGTGTCGTCGGCATTTGCGATCTCGGCGTAGCTCGTGCTCACCTACGCGGTCGCAACGTCCTTCCGGGCGGCGCGAGGGACGCCGCGCGCGAACGCTCTCGAGACTCCGCAGGCCGTCGAGGTTTTTGAGCGCGCCGTTCCCGCTCACGTACAGCGAGCCGCCGATGTGGGTGAGGGACGCGAATCCGAGGTTCTCGAGCGCGGAATTCCCAGTGATGTAGAGGCGCCCCTCGACGCTCTGGAGATGGCTCAGTAAGACGTTCGTGAGATTGGTGTTCTGAATTAGCAGGTCTCCCTCGATGACCGCACACTGCGCCGCTGCCGCCTGCTCGTAATGCTGGCCGCCGGTGCAGACCTTGCCGGCCCTTGCGACGCCGAGCAAGAGCAGGGCCCGTCTGAGCAACATGGCAGCCCAAATTGGCAGCCCAAGCGCGTCGTTGAGGTAATCATTGAGGCCGACTCTGAACCCTTAGCGCGGTGGTAGAACGATGGTCCTGGCATAGCCATCGTGGCATGGGCGCGGCGACGTCCGTAGCCGCGCAGCGCGCCGATGCGACGGTCGTGGAGCTGGCGCCCGCCGCCGCGGTGTCCGCCGAGGCGCCGGCGCCGGGCGCCGCCGACGGCCCCACGGGCGCGCCCGCCGTCGACCGGCTCGCGCTCCTGGCCCAGCAGCTCGACGGGTCCGAGGAGTTCCTCGAGGCCGTGGCGTCCGAGGCCGCGCCCGTGCGCGCGGTGCTCCAGGAGCTCGGCAGCGGCCGCTTCGACGGCGGCGACGGCGACGAGTCGCCGACGGAGCGGCGGCGGCGCCGCGTGTCCGTGCTCCTCGAGTCCGAGGACCTCGACGGTTTAGAGAGAGAGCTGCGGTCCATGAAGATCAGCGACGCGCTCTACGCGAGCGTCATGGGCGGCGTGCGGACCGTCCTGTCCTTCGGGTTCCCCCGGAGCCGGCCCGCGGACGCGCCCCTGGAGCTGCAGCTCGTCAAGGGGAAGCTCGCGCGGCTCGAGGAGGACTACGCGAAGCTGCGGGAGGAGAACGCGCGGCTCCGGCTCGCGGCGGGCCAGACGAGCCGCGACCTGCGGGACCGCGCGTCGACGACGCGCGCGACGTTTTTGAAGGCCTGCGCCGCTTTACCCTACGGCTCGTCGGACCCGGCCGCGGTCAGAGACTGGCTCGACGCGCACGTGACGTCGCGCGCGGAGAACGACGTCGAGCGCCAACGCTTCGCGGCCGTCGCCGCGCAGCTCTTCGAATCCGGCGCGGACGGCCCGTCGCTGCTCGAGCGGTGCGCGGCGCGCGTGGGCAAGCCCCCCTGGTTCGAGGTGCGCGGCGACCACAACCGACAAAAACTCGACGTGAAGCTCGTCGCTTTAAAACGCTTCAACATCGTGCTCAACGACGCGTCGGGCTTCGGGTTCTACTGCCTGCTCTACCGGAGCTGCGGTCGGTTAGGACCTTTGCAGGACTTCGAGTGGGAGGCGCTTTTAGGCGACGGGTCCTTCGGCCAGGTGCACCGCTGCCGCAACAAGCACAGCGGCGACCCGCGCGCCGTCAAGGTCGTCCACGTCGCGTCCGGCGACCTGGAGCGCGCCGCGCTCGAGATGGAGTTCCAGCAGGTCGCGTCGGCGCTCGCGGCGACCAAGGTCGTGCGCCTCGAGACCTGGGGCCAGGTCGAGGAGGAGTACCTCTTCGCGGTCATGGAGTACGCGGCGGGCGGCGAGCTCCGCGGTCGCATCGGCGCAGAAGGCGTCGACGTGGCCCTCTTCTGGCGCTGGGCGTCGCAGCTCGCCGACGCCGTCGCGGAGCTCCACGCGCGGAAGCTCGTGCACCGCGACCTCAAGCCGGAGAACGTGCTGCTCACGGCGGCCGGCGACGTCCGCCTCGCGGATCTGGGGCTGGCGCGAGCTTTGCGGGACGAGGCGCCGGAGACGATGACCGTCGCGGGCACGCTCAACTACATGGCGCCCGAGTTATTGGCGGGCAAGCGCGCGTCGGCCAAGGCGGACACGTGGTCCCTCGCGGTCATCTTCTTCGAGATGCGGACCGGGTCGCTGCCGGTCCACGACGACGAGCGCGCCGGCGACGCCGTCGCCGAGTGGGAGGCGCGCGTCGGCCGGGACCTCGAGGACGACGCGCGCGCGTTCCTGCGCTTCGTCCTCGTGCGCGACGTCTCGAAGCGGCCCCAGAGCGCCGACGTCGCCGCGTACCTGCGGAGCCGGGGCTTCATCGAGGAGCCCGCGCCCGAAAAGGCCGCGACGACGGCCGCGGAGACGCCGCGGCGGGCGAGCCGCGACGACGACGCGACGACGGCCGAGGAGACGCGAACGCGAGCGAGCCGGGCGAGCCGGGCGAGCCGCGACGACGACGCGCCGCCGCGCGCCGTCGTCGTCGACCTCGGGTCCGCGACGGTCAAGGTCGGCCTCAGCGGCGGCGCGGCGGCGTCCTTCCGGGCCGTCGTCGGCCGGCCGAAGCACGAGGTCAAGGCGCTGGCGGAGCTCGCGCTGTCCGCGCTCAAGAGCCCGCGGTCCCACGGCGGCCCGCCGCCGGCGACGTACGTCTGCCCGCGCTGCGGCGTCGGGGGCCACTACGCGGTGGACTGCCCCACGAAGGTCTACGTCGGCGACGACGCCGTCGGCAAGCGCGGCGTGCTCGCCCTGCGGACGCCCCTGGCCCGGGGCCTCGTCGTCGACTGGGAGGGTTTGGAGCTGATCTTCGCGCACACGTTCTACTCCGAGGTCGGCGTCGAGCCCGGCGCGCAGCCCCTGCTGCTCGCGGAGTCGCCGCTGAACCCGAAGGCGAGCCGCGAGCGCGTCGCCGCGTTGGTCTTCGACGTCTTCGAGGTGCCGAGCCTCTACGTGAACGCCCAGGCCGTGCTCAGCCTCTACGCGTCCGGGCGGACGACGGGCTGCGTCTTGGACGTCGGCCACGACCAGGCGCACGCGGTGCCCGTCTTCCGCGGCTACGCCGTGCCCCACGCCATCGAGGCGGTCGACGCGGCGGGCCGGGACGTGACGGCGCACCTCGAAAGGCTCCTCGCGGCCGCGGGCGCGCGCCTGGACGGCGACGTCGTCTGCGATGTGAAAGAAAAACTGGCCTACGTCGCCCTCGACTACGACGCGGAGCTCGAGCTGGCCGAGGCGGACGTGGCGAGCGCCTACGAGCTCCCCGACGGCGACGTCGTCACCGTCGGCAGGGCGCGCTTCACGTGCGCGGAGATGCTCTTCGACCCGGCGCGCTTCGGCCTACGAGAAACGGGCCTACGACGGCGCGCTTCGGGCGGCGGCGTCCACGACGTCATCCACGCGGCGATCTGCCGGTGCGAGGACCGCGCGGTCGTCAAGGAGCTCTGCGCGAACGTCGTCGTCGCCGGGGGCACGACGCTGCTGCCCGGCTTCCCCGAGCGCCTCGCGACGGAGCTCCTGCGGCTGCGGAAGACGTCGACGCACCGCGTCAAGGTGAAGATCGTCGCGCCGCCGGACCGGCACCGGAGCGTCTGGACGGGCGGCTCGCTGCTCGCGTCCCTCGAGCACTTCCCGGACATGTGCACGACGCGCGACGAGTACGCCGAGCTCGGGCCCGCCGCCGTCCACCGGCACTGCGAGCGGCGCCACTCGACCCGCGCGGCGTCGGCCCGCGAGCTCGCGGAGCCGCCGGCCGCGGCGCCGCCGAACCTCTAGTTAATGAATGTACTGTTTCGTGTGCTTAAGCTACGCGAGGAGCGCCTGCGAGTAGTTGCTGAGCGCGGTCTTGCGCCACTCCTCGTAGGGCGTGTCGTCGACCGGCGGCGTAGCGGGACCGCGCCCGTAGTGGCCGCCGTCGTGGCCGCGGCTCCCGGCGACGCCGACGTCGAAGCACCGCTCGTAGGGCTGGTCGTGCTCCTCCCACCTCCCCACGCGCCGAGCCGCGTCGGTGTGTCTCCCGTGATGGTCGTAGTGCCCGAGGTGGTCGCGATGGCCGTGGCCGCCGTTGTGGTCGCGATGGCCGTGGCCGCCGTGGTGGCCGTGGCCGTCGCACGTGCAGCCGTGGCCGCCGCCGCAGCCGTGGCCGCCGTGGCCGTGGCCGCCGCAGCCGCCGCCGCAGCCGCCGTGGTCGTTCTGCTCGTAGCAGCCGTGGTCGCAGAACGTGGGATAGCGCGTCGGATCCGGGCACTCCACGACGTACTCGTAGACGACGCGCCTAGTGGGCGTCTTCGAGTTCTTGAAGCAGGAAGACGAGATCGACGGGCAGCACTTGTCGTAGTAGTGGCCGCCCGGGCCGCAGGCGTAGCGCCAGGGCTCGCAGTCCATGCCGCAGGCAGCGCGCAGTCCGTTGCGACGGGGCAAGCCCGGCCCAAATGATACGCGGCGCTGAATATCAAATCGAGCTCCGCCCGGGGGCTGGCCAAACGAGCGTCGGGCTGCCGTCGGTCGCGCCCCGCCCGCCATGCGGTCGCCCTGCGCGGCGAGCGACTTCGTCGAGCAGGGGGTCATCTTCGACATCGGCGCCTTCTGCGCGGCCCTCGCGGCCAAGGGCCCGGAGGACCTGGAGGCCGTCGCCGAGTGCACGCTCGTGGGGCTGGACACGGACGCGGAGCCGACGCACGAGCTGGGCCTCGTCCTCCCGGCGCTCGAGCGCCTGCGCCTGCGCCAGTCGACCGTGCGGTCCTTCCGGGACTTTGGCTGCGACCTCGGGCGGCTCCGGGTCATCCACGCGGCGCGGTGCGGCGTCGCGGATTTGGACGGCCTGGGGTCCATCTTCACGCTCGAGGAGCTCTACATCTCCTTCAACGACGTCGAGGACTGCACGGCCCTGGCGCTCCACGACGAGCTCCAGGTTTTGGACCTGGAGTCGAACCGCGTCGCGGCCGCGGCCGAGGTCGCGACGCTCGGCACGTGCGAGAAGCTGTCGTGCCTCACGCTCCTCGGGAACCCCGTCGTGGGCGCCCTCGAGGCGAGCGGCGGCTACGCGGGCGGCGTGCTGGCGCGCGTGCCCCACCTCGAGGTGCTCGACGACGCGCCCGTCGGGGTCGCGCGGCGCGACGCCGCCGCGCCCGTGGACGTCGTCGACCTCGCGGGCCCGGCCGACGAGGCGGCGCTCGACGACTTCATCCGCCAGGAGAGCGCCGTGGTCAGCGAGGCCATCAAGGTCTTCCGGCCGCGCACGGCCGACGCGGCCGCGGAGTCGCGCGCCGGTGCGCCCGCGCCGCCGCCGGGCGGCCGGCCGACGAGCGCGCACTCCTGCTGGGAGGAGATGTGCGACCTGCGGGGCGCCGCGGCGGGCGGCGCCGCGGCGTCGGCCGACGGCGCGGCCGGGTCCGACCTCACGCGCGGCGGCAACGGCCCGCTCTCGGGCAACATATTACGGGGCCTCCGGAAGTCGCGCGCGCCGCGGCCCGTCGACGAGGACGCGGGGCTCGAGGGCGTGCGCCGCCGGGCGGAACACGGGACCCGGGCGCGGCGGCGGGCGCCCGCGCCGGAGACGGCCGCGAGCCCCGTGACGGACCTCGTCCGCGAGCTGCTGCAGACGACCGCCGCGGGCGCGCCGGAGACGGCGTCGCCGGCGGCGACGCCGCCGCGCGCCGAGGCGCGCGCCATGGCCCACTCGCTGTCGTCGCCCGCGCTCGGGTCGCCGTCGCGCGGTGCCGCCGTCGCGCCCGCGCCGTCGCACGTGCCCATCACGTCCGTCCAGAAGCAGGCGCTGGCGCGCAAGGCGCCCCAGCGCAAGAAGAAGCTTCAAGGGGTCAGCATCAGCCACATGGACCTCGCGCGCCGCGCGGCCGGCAGGGCCGACCTCAACCGGAAGGTCCGCGGCGCGCTCCCGCCGACGCCGTAAACTGGTCAGTGCCTTAGGGGCGCCTGGGGCGCCTTGCACGTCGACGTCCACCGCGTCCACGGGCTCGCCGTCCAGTTCGCGAGGTCGCTCTCCGGCAGGTCGAGGGGCGCCGGCGCGCGCGGCCGGAAGTCCGCGCCGCGGACGTCGACGCCCGACACGACGGCGCCCTGGGGCGGCTCGACCCAGCGGAAGGGCGCGCCCGGCGCGGGTTTCGTGCCCGGTTTCGGCGACACGTAGGGCCCCATGCGCGTCCGGTCGAGGTCGAAGCAGGACCCGTCGGGCACGTGCGCGTTCGTGCCGTTCGTCGCGCGCTGCGGCTGCGCCGCGTAGCGCTCCAGCGTCTCCGCGAAGGCGGTCGCGTCGAGGAGCGGCGCGCTGTTCTCCGGGTAGGTCCAGGCGCCCTTGGCCATGGTCGGCCGCCGCCACCTGACGGGCAGCGCGCAGCTCAGGTGGTCGTAGGGCATCGTCCACGTGAGCATGAGCTTGACGCCGCGGCTGAAGAGCGCCGCGAAGTAGACGAAGGACGACAACGAGTCGACGACGACGTCGAAGTCGTCGGCGAGCGCGTTGAAGTCGTCGAGCTGGCCGTGCGTGACGTGCTGGAGCCGCCGCGCGGGGGTGTTTTTGGGCGGCGGCGGCGCCGCGGGGTTCACGCGGACCGAGACGCCCTGGGGCAGCGGCATCTTCTTGAGCTCGCCCGCGAGCTCGGCGCCGAACTGCTTCGGGTTCTCCGTGACGACGCAGGCGGAGACGCCGCCGTTGAACCTGGCCTTGGCGGGGGAGCCGTCGGGCAAACCCCGGAGCGCCGCGTCGATCTCCACGAGCAGGTTGTGGTAGACGTGCCACGACACGAAGCGCCACTTCGGGCAGTCGCCGCGGCGCACGTGGAGGCCCACGGTCAGCGTGCCCGCCGGGGCGCTCCGGCCGCAGAAGGCCCGGCCCGGCGGCGCCTCCGCGGGCCGCGGCCGCACCGCGAAGCGCCGCGCGCGGAGGACGTCGGCGACGTGCGGGTGCGAGTGCGCGCAGATGTTGCAGCCGAACTTGCCCTGGGGCTTCTTCTGGTTGCTCTGGAGCACGACGGTCTTGGGCTCCCGCGCGAGCTTGCTCCGCCACGTCGCGACCGTGCGCTCGTCGAGGAAGGGCAGCCCGGGCGTCTTCGCGTTGAACCCGTGGCAGGTCCCCTTGGCCTGCGTGAAGTCGGCGTTCAGGTTCTCCTTCTTGTGGTCGTTTCCGCAGAGCTCCGTGGCCGGCACGACGAAGCCCGCGCCGCAGTGGACGCCGCACTGCCGCTCCATGGTGCCTTTGGCCATGCCGAGCACCTCCGCGACGCTGTGGGGGTCCCGGTTCGCGTGGGACGCGTCCATGAGGAGCGACGCGTCGAGGGACGACGCGAGCAGCAGGCCGGCGACGACGGTGCAGAACGTGTTGCCCATGCCGCCGGACGCGTAGTCGTGGTCGACGAAGTGGCGCACGGCGGGCGCCATCGTCGCATCCGGGGCTGCCTGATTTTTGAACCGTCGTTGCACTACCCGTCGCGCGATGCGGCTGCCCCCGCTGCTCGTCGTCGCGCTGGCGGGCGCCGTCGAGAAGCTCGACTCGAACCAGGTCGAGCAGCGCAAGCTGCGCGTCTACGACTTTAGCTGCCCCGAGAGCGAGAAGCACGTCTGCGCCTGCCAGCTGCGCTGCGAGAACCCCAAGGGCAAGCAGTGCCAGAAGGGCATCGCCGTCTGCGCCAAGCACGCGGCCCAGGGCTGCGCCTACGTCGTGACGAACCCCTCCGGCGAGTGGGCGACCCTGAAGCGGCTCCCGACGGCCAAAGAGGAGGCCGAGTTCCGCTACCCCGGCAAGGACTTGGACGCGGCGGGCCTCGCGGCCGAGCGGCCCGCGCTGGAGCGGGAGGGCCGAGCGCAGCGGGCGAACTACTCGGCCGCCGGCGGCTTCGCGGGCGCCCTGCGGCGCGGCGGCGTCGACGCCCTGACCCTCGGCGGCGACCCGCTCTGCGGGTCCGCGGGCGCCGCGGCCGTCGCCGCGCTCGGCGCGGAGCGCCCGACGGTTGCCCTCGTCGCGCTGAGCTACCGCACGCCGGCGACGCTGCGGCGGTCCGTCGTCTCCTGGTGGGCGTCGGGCCTGCTGGGCCTCGTCGACGAGCGGATCCTGTTGTTGAACGACCCGGCGCCCGCGGAGGTCGCGGTCGGCGTCCGCTTCGGCTTCGACGTCAGGCTGCCGTCGGAGCTGGGCGCGCGGTCCGGGCCCGGCGCGGGCCAGCGGCCGCCGCTGCCGGGCCCGCGGCTCCGGGCCGTGAAGCCCGAGGTGCTGACCATCGGCGCGGCGTTCGCCGCGGCGCTCGTCGCGGCGTCGTCGACGCACGTGCTCTTCCTGGAGAAGGACTTCGGCGTCGCGCCATCCCACAACCCGGACTCGCTCGCCCGCGAGCTCGCGGCGTCCGTCGTCGCGCTCCGGCGCGGCGCGGCGATCGTGCGGCTCCGGTCCATCACGGACCAGGGCTGCGGCACGTTCCGCCGGTGCCAGAGGGACGCGAACATGCCCGACTGGAAGGCCCAGACGACCTTCGGCCGGCGGCGCAACTGGTGGTCCTTCTACTGCCCCGAGTTCTCGAAGCCCGGATCCGTCGCGGACTGCGAAACCGGCGGCGACGTGACACTCCGGTGCTTCACGTCCTGGGACTCGAACTGGTCGCTGAACGCCGTGCTCGTGGACCGCGAGTCGGCGCTGGAGAAGAAGTGGAAGTACGCGCGCAAGGGCGCCGCGGGCAAGTTCGGCCCGGGCCTCGCGCTCGCGCAGTACGCGGCGGCGACGTGGCAGAAGCAGGACGGCTTCGAGGTCGGCATGCTCAAGGACGACTGGGGCAAGCTCGACATGCCCATCTGCCTCTCCTTGCGCGGCATCTTCGAGCACGTCGAGGTCGACGGGTAGGACTAGGTTTCGTCAACTTTGGTGCAACATTACTTCAAGCGGGTGTTCTTGAGGCTCGAGTTCTTGCGTGTCTCCGTCCGATGCGCATGCTCTAGACGAAGCTGTCACGCGCGTGACGTCAAAACGATAACCGCACCACGCTACGCAATGAAGCTCGCGCTGCTCTCGATCACCGGCGCCGCCGCCCTGAGCGGCGTGACGACGACGACGGACTGGACCGCCGCGCGGACCGCGCTGCGGCAGCGCGACGTCGGCGCCGTCGTCGTCGAGGGCGCCGCGGCGCCCGCGGACGCCTGGCGCGGCGCCATGGAGGGCGACGCGTGCGCCGCCGTCGACGTGTCGTGCGAGGCCTGCGACTGCGCCGTCGCCGCCGTCCAAAGCGCCTTCGCGCCGCTCTGGGGCGCGGCGGACGCGGACGGCGCGGCCGCGGCACAGATCGTCGACCTCGCGCGGTGCTACGACCGGTGCCTGGCGGACAAGTCGGACGGCGGCCGCGTGCGCGTGCGCGCGACGGTCACGCGCGGCCGCGCGACGGCGCCGTGCCCGAAGCTGCACACAGACTTTGTCGCGCTCCGTGGCCTCGTCGCGCTCGAGGGCCCGGGCACCGTCGTCGCGCCCGAGGTCAACCTCGCGGTGAGCAACCTCATGCCGGCGTGGATGGTCGCGCGCATGGACCGCGCCGAGGGCGCGGCGACGGTGTCGCCGGCGCGCGGCGCGTTCCTCCTCGTCAAGGGCGAGAGCTGGGGCTTCGGCCACGCGGCCGCCGCGCACCGGAGCCCGGCGGCGACGGACGCGCGGCGCGTCCTCCTCGCCTTCGACCGGCTCTGCGACGTGGAGTAGGGCGACAAAAGGGACTTAGGGGGATGGGGGCCGCGGAAGGCGCGCGCGCCCGTCGCGGTGGTCCGCGCGCGGGGGCGGGCGCGCCTCGGGCCGGGTCGCCGGCGGTTTGTGGCGGCCGGGACGCGGGCGCGCCAACGCGCCTAGCGGAGGAACCAGGCCGCGAGGAGCGCGACCGCGACGGCCGCGGCGGCGGGCGCCGCGGGGAACGCCTTCGCGGCCTCGTCGCCGCGGTAGGTCACGTCCGGCGCGGGCGAGGCCGGCGCGGCTTCGGCCGCCGGCGGCGGCGTCGCCGGCGGCGCCTTCTTCGCCTTGGGCTTGGGCGCCTCGTAGGCCGCGCCCGCGGCGCGGCGGTCGGCCGCGGCGAGCTGCTTCGCGTCCACGGCCTCCTTGGCGGCCGCGGCCTTGGCCGCGCGGCGCTCGGCGGCGGCGTCGACCTTGCCCGACGCGGCCTTGGCGGCCTCGACCTTCTTGGCGAGGAGCTCGGCCTTGCGCGCGGCCGCGAGCTTCTCCTGGCGCGCGGCGAAGTCCGCGTCCGCGCGCTTCGCGTCGCCCGCGGCCTTGAGCTCCTCGGCGGCGGCGTGGACCTTGGCCGTGCCCAGGGCCCGCGCCTTGTCCGCGCGCGCCTCGAGCTCGCAGTCGCGGCGCGCCTCCGCGCTCAGCAGCTTGGCCTCGAACGCGCCTAGGGAGGGGAAGGCGGTCGGAGGGTTTCGACGGGCGACCGCGGGTCGATGGTGCGACGAGCGGTCGGAGCCAGGGTCGAGCGTTCGACGAGCCCTATCCCGCGCCGGCGCCGCGCCCTCGGCGTCGCCGCCCTTCCACTCGTCCTCGAGCGCGCGGCGCCGCGCGGCCGTCGCGACGGCCGCGGAGCCGAGCGACGCGGCCTTGACGACCTTGTCGAGCGTCTCCATCTCGCGGCGCTGCGACGCCGTGTCGTGCTTCGACGCGTACTTGAGGCGCCGCTCGAGGCCTGGGAACAGGCGCGCGCGTGAGCCCCCGAGGACGCGCGCGAGGGCGCGGCGCGACGCGCGGTGCTCGACGTCGTCGACGTCGCGGCAGACGCGCGCGCGCGCGACGCGCGACGTCGACGTCGCGGCCGCGCGGAGCACCGTGAGCGAGTCCTGCTGGGCCTTGAGCTGGGCCGCGCGGTCGAGTTTGTCCGCGAGCGCCGCGGCCTTGAGCGCCGCCGCGTGCTCCACGCGCGCGCGCGCCTCGGCCTCGCGGCGCCGGTCCTCGAGGGCCTTGAGCCGGCCCGCGACCTCGCGGTCGAGGAGCCGCTTCGACGCCTCGGCCTCCTTGCCCGCGAGCGCGATGGCGCGCGCGGCGACCTCCGCCTCGGTCTCGAGCGACCGGCGGACGCGCGCGGCCTCGAGCGCGTCGCCGCGGCTCCCCGCCTCGACCTTGGCCTGCTGGAGCTCGAGCTTGCGCGCCGTCGCGCTGTTGAGCCGCGCGTCGAGCGCGGCCTTCGTGGGCGACGTCGCGGGGCTGCCCTTGGGCACCGCGGCGGCGGCGGCCTTCTTGACCTTCTCCTGGACGAGCCTACGGTGATGCTTCGGTCGACGGCGCTCGAAGCGTCGCCGCGGGACGCCGGGACGAGCTCGAGGCGGCGGGCCTCGGCGGCCTCGAGCTTCGCGTCGAGCTCGGCCTTGCTGAGCTTCGTCGGGGAGACGACGCCGCGCGGCGCGGCGCTCGCGGCGGCCTTGGTCTTGACCTCCGCGAGGGCCTCGAGGCGCCGGGCCTCGGCGGCCTCGAGCTTCGCGTCGATGGACTGCTTCGTGCGCGGGCTGGGGACGTCGCCTACGGTTCGCGGGGGATTCGCGGGGGCCGCTTCGCGCGCGGCCTCCGGAGTCACCCCCGACGTGGGCTCCACGGAGGCTCCGGTGCCCCGTCGGTGGGCTCCCGCGCGCCGTCGCGCTCGGACGCGGGCCCGCGCCGCGGGACGCCGCCGACGCCGCGGCCTTGCTCTTGACCTCGGCGAGCGCCGCGAGGCGCCGCGCCTCCGCGGCCTGGAGCTTGACGTCGAGGTCCTGCTTCGTGCGCGGGCTCGCGACCTCGCCTGCGCCGGGGCCGCGCTCGCGCCGCGCCGCCGCCGCCGCCGACGCCGCGCGCGCGCCGCGGAGCGCGGCGCTCGCCGCCGCCTTGCTCTTGACCTCCGCGAGGGCCTCGAGGCGCCGGGCCTCGGCGGCCGCGAGCTTCGCGTCGACGTCGCGCTTCGTCCGCGGGCTCGCGACCTCGCCCTTGGCGCGCGCGAGCTCCTTGGCGCGGAACTGCTTCTGCTCGAGCTCGATGTCGCGGCGCACGGCCGCGGCCTCGAGGCGCTCGTTGAGCGCGGCCATGGACACGGGCTTCGCCGGCGACGCGAGCTTCATCGCGAGGCCCGGCGGGGCCGCGTTGAGCTTCCGGTCGTCGTTGACCGGCACGAGGACGCTCTTTTTCGGTGTGGCCATGCTATCTATCAACGTCTTTTTGGATGTCGGGGCAGCTTCGCGCCTCGTCGTTTGTTTTCAAGTTACATGTAACGTGCTGTTCGTTCCGCGCCACTTTGGACGTCACGTCCAGGACGTGCGCGGCACTCGCGTTGTGACGCCACTTTGGACGTGCGCGTCCCGTCGACCGGGCGCGACGACGAAGCTCACCGTCGCTGGTGCCTTGTGCGGTCTCGCGCGATGTCGCGTGCTCGGGTGTCGTTCGCGCGCGGTCGACCCAGTGCACGTTGCTATGAGCTGCGCGCGCACGCGCACCCGAGAAAAGGCCAAAACGAAAGGAAGACGACTGTGTAGCGAAAAAAAAAAATACACTATCTGGGAATCGAACCCAGGGCATTCGCTTGGAAGGCGAATATGTTGCCACTACACCAATAGTGTCGCGAACCCGCGACCTCATCTTGCTCGGACAACGACACGGAAATCGATCAGGGAGGCACCGCGCCGGGCGGGAGACTTGTTTGCCTCCGCCAGCTTGGCTCTTCCTGGAGGCCTGAAATCCGCGCTGCTTCGGAGCAGAGACGCGCGCAACGACGCCCGATTTCGCCCGCGCGCTGCGCAGAGCACCGTAACCACTCAACCGGCAAGCGCCGCTCGCCAAAATGCTCAAGCAATTCCTGTCGCCGACGCTTTCAAACGCTGCCGGCTGGCTCGCGGCGGGAGCGGTCGTGTTCGCGTGGCAGTACTACGAGAGCAACAAGAGCAAGGCCGTCGACGACCCGACGGCCTTCAACCAGGCCATCATCGACAGCAGCAAGAAGAAGAAGTAGGCGCGCCGCGGCGCGCGGCGTTCGACGCGAGACGACAGGACGCCGGCGGAGCGGCTGCTCCTCTCGAGTTGCGGTGCCGTGCATCGAAGATACCAAGCGCAACACTGAGTACGTGCGAGCGCGAGATATCTTCGAGTGGAAGCGTTCGATTCTATGAACGCGACGAGACGACGGCGCCGGACGAGGCGAGGCGACGAACCGCGAGGTATCCAGTGATCGCCGGCTCTCTCACACACAGGCGAGCCTGCGCACCGTTTTTGTGGCATCATCGCTGCCAGACGCGGAGACAACGCGGCCCGTCCGCTGACGACCTCGACCCCGGGGCCGCGAACTAGAGACTTTTACTAACCCAACACTAGCTCGCCATCTCCGCCATGTCCGAGTCCTCGTCCGCGTCCTCGGACGGCAGGCTCGCCAAGCGCGGGAGCCGGCCCGGCCGGCCGCGGAGCACCAGCCGCCGGGGCACGCGGAGCACGAGCGTCGCGATCGCCGTCGACAGCGCGACGAGGAAGCAGAGGCCCGTGCCCGCGGCCACGCCCAGGGCCGCCGCGTACCAGATCGTCGCGGCCGTCGTCAGGCCGCCGACGGACCGGCCGTCGCGCTGGACCGTGATCACGCCCGCGCCCAGAAACCCGACGCCCGTCGCGGCCGCCGCGGCGACGCGGCCCAGGTCGCCCTGGGGCACGACGAGGCCCGCGACCGTGAAGAGCGCGCTGCCCATGGACACGAGGGTCATCGTGCGCACGCCCACGGGCGACGACGCCTTGCGCGTCGCCCGCCGCTCGAACCCGAGCGCCGCGCCCGCGACGCCCGCGACGGCGAGGCGCACGAGGAGCTGCAGCTGGTCCGCGATGGACGGGCTGTACATGGCGCAGAGCGCGACGGCGCGAAGCCGCGGCGGCGGCCGTCGCGGCGGCGGCGCCCACCGTAACCGTCGGGTCGGCGAGCGGCGCGTCGCCGGGGCCGCGGCGCGCGGCAGCGGCGCGACGAACGACAGCGTCGCGTGCACGAGGCACGCCGCGACGATGCGCCGCAGCATGGAATTCCAGCCGCCGCGCTTGCGCTGCTACGGCGAGCTGCGCGGCCTCGCGGCGGCGAGATGAAACCAGGTTGTTGTGAATTTTGATTGGCTGGACGCCGTCCCGACAGCCTCCTGACGCGTCGCGCGTAGACGAAGTCGTAGACGTCGTCGAGCGAGACCTCGGAACAGAGAAATCTTTACCACAGGGTCAGTCGAAGAACGTTCGCGAGCGGGGCGATGCGAAAACGGCGTTGCTTCTTCGCGAGAGTGGGCGGGTCGAACGGGGGGGAGAGGGGCGCACAGAGCCGCCCCGGCTGGACCGGGGCACAGGTGGCATCACACAGGTGGCGCGAGAGGATGTGGAGGAGGGGGGCGGTCGCGTCCTCGGCGGCGCGGCGCGGTCACGTCCTCGGCGGCGCGGCGGCGCCGTCGTCGTCCTCGCTGGACGTCGTCGACACGGCGCGCGCGGCGCCGAAGATCTCGAGGAGCGCGTTCGCCGCGACGGCGGACTCGCCTGCGGACGGCGGCGCGGTGGGGCGGCGCGCGCGAAGGACATGGAGGAGAAGGTCCGCGGTGCCGAAACAGACGCCGCGCCACCCACGGTCCTCGGTCGCCGTCGCGCGCCGGCGGCGGCGCTTGACCTCGTCGCCGGACGCGAGGCTGGACAGGATGGACGTGATCTTGCCCGCGTCGAGCGCCTGGCGGCTCGGCCGGGGCCGCGCGTGCTCCGCGACGGACCGCGCGACCGCCGGCGAGATGCGCACGCGGACCGCGTCCGAGAGCGCGTCGTCGGACCAGACCTAGAGAACCCGGCGTGAAAAAAAGGCGAATTTCGCGGTACGTACCGAGGCCGACGAGGACGCGCGGGACCGCTTCGGCGGCGGCGGCGAGCCGTCGTCGTCGGACGCGTCGCGGAGCTTCCGCGCCTTGCGCCTATTTTCGAACCGTCGCTCCGCGAACTCACAACCTCCTCGACGCCGCGGGACGCGCCGCGTCCGCGCGGGGTACTCGCGGCCCCGCGCGCCGAAGGACCGCGGCGCGGCGCCGTCGTCGGAGCCCGACGACGCGGCCGCGGCGCCGTGGTCGCGGTCCACGGCGTCGACGGCGGCGGCGAGCGCCTCGCGGGCGACGGCCTCGGCGGCGTTCGCGCCGTGGACCGCGGCCTCGCAGGCGCCGCAGAGCCAGGCGTCGGCCGGGCCCCGGCGGCCGCCGCCGACGCGGCGCGGCGCGTCGAGCGCGCCGGAGCAGCGCGCGTGGCACCTGCGAAGGGCGGAGCGGTCCGCCGCGGGCTCGGCCGCATAAAAGACGCCGCGAAACCCGCCAGGTCCCGCAGGCCCCGCCGCAGCGGCGCACGTCGCCGTCGGGCGGCGCGCCGCACCAGCAGGCGAGGCCCGGCGCGGATCGGCGCGGCCGCGGCCGCTTCCGGCTCGCGAAGACGCCCGCGGCGACGTCGAAGGTCTCGCCGCGGCCGTTCGTCAGGGACACGCGGGGCCCGCGGCCGCCGTCGCCGAGGAGCGCGCGGCAGCGCTCGACGAGGTTGCCCGGGTCCGCCGGCGGCGAGGACCGCGGCGACGGCGACGGCGACCGGCCCGATTCCGCCGCGCGCTCCGCGACGTGCGCGTCGATCAGCTCGGCGACGCGGCGGCGGTCCGGCGCGCTCAGGCTGTCCAGATGCTCGACGTCGGCGAGGTCCGTGATCGTCTTCGACTTGCGCGACGCGCGCGTGAAGTTGACGAACATGCAGTCGATGTGGTACCACTTCGTCTTCAAGTTGTGGCCGTGGCGCAGCGACGGCGGCACCTTGCCCAGGCGCGGCGTGCCGGGCACGAGCTTGGCGCGGCACGTCGCCTCGGCACACTTGGCGCGGCCGTCCGTCGCGACGCCGGCCTGCCGGAACCGTTCTTTCGAACGTTCGTTCTCGGGGACGCGGGGGACGCGCGACGAACTTGTTCGCGCCGATGTGGCCCGCGAGGCGCCCACCTGCGCGGCGGGGGGTCGGCGGGCGGCGCGCGCGCGGGCGGGCGGGACCCGCGCTCGGGCGGCCGGGACCCGCGCGGCAACCCGGGCTGCCGTTCGAACGGATCGGGCGGGGTGCAACCCGGGGTGCCGTTCGGACCCGGGGGACGCGCCGATGTGGCCCCGGTAGTGCGGGGTCCCGCGCAGCGGCTGCTCCTTCTCCATGTGGTCCAGCTCCTTGCAGAGCCTCTGGCGCAGCTCCTCGTTGGCAGCCTCCTCGTCGCAAGGGTCCACGGGAGGGCACCGCGTCTCCAACGGCGGGAGCTCGGCCATGGCGGGAGCGCGGGGGGTCGCGCCCGGCGGCAGCCCGTCACGGAACCAGCGGTCGCGGCCCGGCGGCGAGGTCACGCGCCAGGGTCCATTTATGATGTAGGTCCATGCTCGCGCCCTCGTTCGAGTCGGGCAGCCCCCTTACTTTCCGATTGCAAAGTTTCCCGGGGAGTGCCATCCTATCAATCGTTAATATATTGTGGTGACCCGGCCAAGTTGACCTATACAAAGTCATAAAAACTCGATTCAGAGTGAAGGCGATGAACCCTTGCAGCACCATTGAATTATTTTTAAATCCGGAGTATGTGGTACTTTTTGTTCGGAACATTTGATTGACATTGAACTCACAAGATTGAAGCCTCGGTTTAAAAAACTCGATCGATGTTTGGACGACTCGATGGCTCCCCTCGAGTTCTCGAAGCGCGGCAGAAGCGCTCGCGTCCACCTCGTCGCATACGCCCGCATTGAAGTCGGGTCGGAGACTCGGATTCGCATGCGGCGCACTGCAGGCATCCACGAGGTGCCCGCGCGCGGCGCGCGCCTCGCGCCGTCCAAGTACCGCCGCGCCGAGGGCGCCGTCGTCGCGACGACCATCGTCTGCTTCTACGTCCACACCGCGCTCTTCTCCGCGTAAAACTCCTCTAGCAAAAAACGCGCGCGCGTCAGCCGCGGTCGTCGTCGTGGCGTTCGCGGGGCTCGTTCAGCCAGGCCCGCGGGTTCTTGATGTAGACGCCGCCGGCGCGCGAGAACCACTCGGGCTGCGGCGGCTCGTAGTCGCCGTCGAGCGCGCGCTCCGGGCTCGGCTCGCGCGCGATCTCCGTCTCGTACGCGTCGTGGTCCCAGTGCGGCAGGCGGCCGGCGAAGTCCGGCGCCCGCTCGCGGAACTCGCTCCGCACGCGGGCCCCGATGGGGTCGAGCGGGTTCCGCGGGTCGTGCGGCGCGCGCGCGGCGGGGCTTCGGCTCCGCGATCGGCTATCGTAGCTCCGGCTCCGCGACCGGCTCGAGCTCGAGCTCCGGCTCCGGCGGCGGGCGTCGCCGCGGCGGCGCCGCGGCGGCGACGGGCGCCGCGGCGCCTCGCGCGCGCGCGCGGCCTCGGACGCGCGCCAGAGCTGCGCGGCGACCTCCGCCTCGGAGAAGCCGCGCCTCACGTCGAAGCCGCCCGCGGGCGCCGGCGCCGGCTCCGCGTCGACGGTGGCGCGGTAGCCGTCCCGCTCCAGGAGCGCGACGATGGCCGCGTCGTCGTAGCCCCGCGCGACGAGCAGCTGCACCTTGTCCTCCATGGCCTCGCGCGCGGACGGGGCCTCGCGCGCGGCGGGCGCCGCGGCCGGCGGCGCCGCGGCGTCGTTCGGCGTGACGTCGAAGAAGGCGGCGGCGGTGATGGCGCCCTCGCGGCGGCCCGCCTTCTTCTTCTTCTTCTCCTTTTTGTCCTTCTTCCGTTGCTTCTTCTGCGCCTTCTTCGAGGCCCTGGCGTCCTCGTCGTCGGACGACGCGCCGCCGTCGGCTTGGGGCTTCAGCGCCGCGGCGTCGTCGTCGCCGTCGGACGCATTGCCGTCGGACGCGTCGGTCATGTGCGCGAGGCGTATCGAGCCGGACGAGGCCGGCTGCGGCGCCGCTCTAGTGGTGCTCAGGCTGGGCCATGCCACTGCCGCCGGTTCGAATTCGCGGGGGCGCCGGGCTCAGTCGCCACAGGCGCTTCGCCGCACGCCTCTCGACGCCTCCAACGCCTCCTCCAACGCGACGCCTCGAGGAGGCGGACGCACGTTGCGACGCCTCCCCACAGACCAAGAAGAAAACGCCGATAGACAAGGAACCACCGTAACCAGCGCCAGCTAGGACGCGGCCGCGGCCGCGGCGGCCTCGATGAAGTCGGCGACGTCGTCGTGGTGCTCCTGGCGCGCGGCGCGCGCCGCGGAGACGGCGCCCTTGAGCGCCGAGGGCACGACGCCCGCGCGCTCGGGCTGGCCCTTGGGGTTGACCTTGCAGCCCGGCGCGCGCGCGAGCGCTTTCACGGCGTCGAGCTTGCCTCGGTACGCGGCCAGCCACAGGGGCGTCAGGTTCGTGCCCGTCGTCCGCGCGTCGGCGTCGGCGCCCGCCGCGATGAGCACCTCGACGACCTTGGCGTGGCCCTGCTGGGCGGCGTAGTGGAGCGGCGTCATGCCCGTCGGGTCGCGCAGGTGGACGGTCTTGCCGCTTTTCACATAGGCCGCGACGCCGTCGACGTCGTTCTTGGCGACGGCCTCCCAGAGGTTGACGACCGCCGCGGCCGGCGGCGACACCGTGATGTCCGGGCGCGTCGCGGTGGCCAACATAATTCGCGGCACACCGGGCTGCCGGCAACGCTCAGAGTGCACCGTGCTCATCACCGTGCAGGGCACCAACAGCAGATCTCTTTGGCTTCGGCGCCGACACACACAACAAACAGCTCGGCCTGGGCTGTGGCTCCCGGGAGGGATGGCCTCCGAGGAGCAGCCCCCGCCCTACTACTTCTCCTTCGCGAACCTGAGCTGCGGCTTCCTCGACGGCCTCTGCCAGACGGAGGAGGATGAGGAGTACATCGTCGGCGAGCCCAAGATGGACGCGCTGCCCTCGCCGACGGAGGCGCCCGGGCCCCGGGAGCCCGCCGCGGAGCCCGCGGCCGAGCGGCCGCCCATGGCGCGCCAGCCGAGCCGCCGCGTGTCCATCAAAAAGGAGGCCGTGGACACCTTCAAGAGCCACCTCAAGAAAGGGCTCATGGTCACGAAGCACTGCCGCGACGGCAAGAGCCGCCCGCGGCTCCTCTTCTGCGACGACGCCTGCGCGAACATCGGCTGGAAGCAGCCCAACGGCAACAGCGCGAAGACGACGGACATGATGCCCCTCGCGGACGTCGAGGAGGTCCGGTCCGCCGTCGAGATCGACAAGGTCGGGAGCCAGGAGGACAAGAAGGGCCGGACCCTCGCGGGCACGGCGACGCTGCGCAAGTGCATCGAGGGCACGTCGGCGCGCCGCGCCTTCAGCCTCATCTTCAAGGACCGCACCGTCGACATCGAGGTCGCCACGGAGGACGACGCGCGGAACACGATCCGCTACTTCAAGGTCCTCGTCGCCGAGGCCAAGGCCTAGCCCCCCCCCCCGCATTTTTTGCGATTGTTAGAACGGGTAGCTGATCACCTCCCCGACCGTCGACGGCCCCGCCGACGCGGTGGCGTCGTCGCGGCGGCTTCGGAACGCGCGCGCCCACGCGGCGTCGAGCCGCGCGTCGCTCTCGGGGCCCGGCGCCGCGCGCCAGCGGCCCGCGGGCGTCCGCGCCGCGAGGCCCCGCGCCTCGAGGTCCGGCAGGCAGCCCAGCGCCGCGCTCGCCGTCGCGTTCGCCGTCGCGGGGTCGGGGTGCTCCGCCGCCGCCAGTCGAAACAACCGATCCCGGAGCGCGTCCTCGGCCACGTCGTCGTACTCGCCCCAGCTCAGGCCCCGCAGCGCCCCCAGGCAGAGCCCCGCGAGCGTCGCGGCCTCCGCCGCCGCGTCCTTCACGAGGGCGTCGCAGACGACCGCGCCCTTGGCCCGGACGCGGTCGCGCAACGCTCTCGTCGTCTCCAATTCGTACATGTTCCGCCGCGCCTTCGTCGTGAAGATCAGCCGCGACACCCAGACGACCCCAGAAACGGACGCGAGCACGTCGCCCCAGACCGTGCCCAGCCGCTGCGCCGCCAGGAGAAATAAGAACGTCGCGCCCGTCAACAGGTCGAAGCGCGCCGCGTCCAAAGGTCGCACCCGCAGCCGCCGCGTCGGGATGAGCGTCTTCAGCGTCCGCAGGGGCACGCCCGCGTAGAGCGCTAACCCCAACCGCCGCGGCGGCCGGCCGTTGCGCGTAGCTTTCTGCGCCTTGCCGTGCGTCGCGTACAAGACGACGACGTCGCCGTAGGAGATGGCGACCCGCGGCGGCGGCCGCGCGAGCGCCCGGAGCGCGTCCAACGGCCCCGTCGCGTTGGCCAGGGAAGAATCCACGCACGCCCCGACGCCGCGCTGCGCGACGCCGACGCAGCCCGCGGGCCGGGCCGCGCAGTAGGCCTCGTCGGCCGCGGGCGCCACGGGCCAACAGCCGCCCGCCGCGAAGTCCGACACGTCGCAGCCCTCCGCGTCCGGGTCCACGGACCGCGTCGACGCGCCCCAGCGGCTCAGCAGCCGCCGGCCGACGCGCGTCGACACCCGGGCGCCCCGGCGCAGGGGCCCCACCACCAAGCGCCGCCGCCACCGGGACCGATGCGACGTCGCGTTCCGCGGGTCGAAGCGCGCCTCGATGCGCCGCTCCGAGCGGCCGAGCATGCGCGACAGGCGCCGCCAGGACTTCTCCACGGTCTCGGACTGGAGGTACTCGAGCGTGTCGACGAGGCTCAGCGGCTCCTCAGTCGACTCGAGGCCCCGGCGCCAGACCCGGACCTCCCGGAGCGCCGCGTCGTCGACGTCGACGCGCAACCCGGCGTCCTCCGCCAGCGCGTCGCAGAGCGCGCCCTCGCGCGCGTCGACCTCGACGTAGCCCGCGCCGGCGAGCGTCGCCGCGAGCAGGCCGCCGAACGCCGCGACCTCGGCCTCGCCGCCGCCGCCGGCGGACCCGAGCGCGGGCCGCTTCCGCCAGAAGCCGAGGCGGCGCTCCGGCGGCGGCTCCGCGCCGTTCCGCCAGGCCGCCTCGGCGGCCGCGAAGCTCCCGCGCAGCGCCTCGTCGCTCTCCGCGGCGAGGAGCTTCGCGAGTCGAGGGTACGCCGCGCAGACGGCTTCTACTTTCCTCCCGCTCAGGCGGCCGCGTTCGGCGGCGAAGAGGAGGTTTTGGTCGCCGGCGAGGAGCGGCGCGGGGAGCTTTTGCGCGTTGGGGACGTAGGCGCGCAGCGCCGGCGCGAGGACCGCGAGCGACAGGAGCAAACAGGCCATGGTGCGCGGGTTGCGGCTCGTTTTGGCGCGCCGCTTTGCTCGTGAGCGTTGGTGGCTGCCTCGTGGGGCTAGTGGCGCTGCGTTCAATACGTCTGGGTTGGTTTGCTAGAATTTCGGGACCAAACAGTCGGTCATATCCATCGGCCACGACGCCCAGCCGATTGGCGCCAATCCGCCCGGCTCGCTGTTCGAAGCAGTGGCGAGCCGGGCCCAGGCGCGCGCCGAGCGCGCGCGCGCGGCCGCCTGCGGAGCTCGTGGACCGACGGATCAACGGCGCGGGAAATTGAGCGAATTTGGGCACCCGCCGCCGACCCGGGCGCACGCATGGGAGAATGTTCGTCGAGAACATGTCCGAGTCCTCCAGGGAAGCGACCGCCGCGGCGGCCGGCGCCGCCGGCGTAGCTCCTCCTCCTCGAGCCGGATGAACGCGTTGACGTAATCGCGGATGTAGCCGAACTCGTCGCGCACATCGGGCAGCGAGTGGTGCTCGGCGCCGTCGGCGTTCTCGTCGGACACCTGGGCGAGGGAGGCTGAACTGCGGCAGCCTGCTCAGGCTCAAGCTCCGAAGTCCGAGTCCACGGTGCGCCAGTGCCCGAGGCCCACTGGTCGCCCTACGAAGCCGCCGCTCGCTCGGCGGAGGCCGTCCTCTTCAACAAGGGCGAGGCCGAGGCCGCGGCGCTCCGCGACGTGCAGCAATCCCAGCTCTCGAAGCTCCGCGCGGGCGTCGAGGCCACGCTGCGCAAGGAGCTCGGCCTCCGCGACGACCAGGAGATGCCGGTGCCGGGCGAGCTCGACACGAGCCCAACGACGAGGCCCAGCTACATATCACAACCTAACCCCTTGGAAACTACTCCTACGGCAAATCATCAAGCCGCCGGAGCCGGCGCCACTTGCCCGTGGCCTTGTCGGCGAAGTAGACGTTGACGATGCCGCCCGAGTAGGCGTCGCGCGCCGCGGCCGTGCGCACGGCCTTCTCCGCGAGGTCCGCGGCCTCGTCGACGTTGAGGTCGGCCCGGTAGCCCGCGTCCAGGACGCTGTACGCGTAGGGGCTCCCGGAGCCGACGGCGAAGAGGTGGCCGGCGAGGCACGCGCCCGAGTTGTCGGCGTAGGTGAGCGTCGCGTCGTCGAACATCATCGTGCCCACGCTCAGGTCCAGGTTTTTGTCCTGGCGCGACAGCAACCCCGCGAGGTACTCCGCGTTGCGCCGCGCACTCGGCGGAAAGCCCGTCTCCAGCTCCGCGAGCTTCGACGTCGCCGAGAGGAGGCGCAGCCAGTAGGTGCAGTCGCCGGCCGAGCCCGCCATGGTGCCGAGCGTCGTCCGCGACACGGGGATCGCCTTCTCCGTGGAGTAGCTTCCGACGAAGTTCCCGAGCGACGCGCGCGAGTCGACGCAGCACATGGTCCCGCCGTCGAAGCGGAACGCGACGGTCGTCGTGCCGTGGTACATGTTCGTCTTCATGAGCTCGGCGCGCTCGGCGCGCAGCGTCGCGCGGGCCTCGTCGTCGAGGGAAGGGTCCAGGGGCTCGATGGCGTGGCGCCGCACGAGCGCTTCCTCGCCGGCCGCCGGCGCGACGCGCAGCGGCGCCGCGAGCGCGTCGACCATGTCGTTCGCGCCGGCGCAAGGCAGCAAGGCCGCGAGGGCGAGCAGCGCGAGACCCATATGCACGGGAAGTGCTCAAGTTGAACATCAAGCAATGGAGGCGTCGCGACGTTGAAGCGGCAAAAAGTTACACGAAGGCGGCCTGGGACTCCTTCGCCTCGTCGGGCGCGGCGGGCGCGGTCTGGGCGCGCTGGTTTCGCGGCGGCGTGTTGGCGCCGTGGCGCTCGGACTGGAGCCGCGCGTAGAGGTCGACGTCGTCGCTCCGGAGCGCGTTGCCCGCGCGGCCGCGGAGGATCTCGCGGCCCTTGGCCTTGTAGGCCGAGAGGCAGCCCGCCTTCTTGAGGAGCGCGTAGGCGCCGAAGGCGCAGCCCGCGACGAGCGCCATGAGGAGCACGACGTCGATCCACGTGCGGTCGAGCGAGGCGTCGTCCCGCTTCTTCGACGGCTTGGGCGTCACGGGCTCGTAGGGCTCGTAGGACACGAAGGGTGTCTCCAGCAGCACCCGCGACTGCTCGCCGTCCTTGGACCGGAAGAGCGCGCCCGTGGGCATGGCCGCGAGGCACGCGGACAGCGGGGACGACGCCTCGTTGACCAGCTGCCGCAGCGGCCACCGCGCGGAGCCCGCGCCGGCGTCGGCCTTGCGGATCACGCAGTCCCGCACGGACGTCGCGAAGGTCGCCGGGTTCGCGTTGAAGGCCAGCGTCGGCGACTGGCGCGCGTGCAGCTTCAGGCCTGTGTGGAAATCAACCAGTGGAACGCCCTGTCCAGCAAAAACTTCAAACCTCTCTATCTCGATCAAATCGAAGTCGATTTGGCTGATTTTTGGACGAATCGATTGCTCTCGTCGAGTTCTCGAAGCACAGCCGAAGAGCTTGCGTCGAAACTGTCGCATACGAATACATTGAAGTAGGGTTGAAGATTTGATTTCCACACAGCTTGAGGCGCCGCCGCTCGGGCCGCATGAGCGGCGTGAGCGTCGCGCCCGCGTCGCCCAGGCGCTCGAGGCACCACTGCACGAAGAGGTCGTCGTTCACGGGCATGGCCCCGTAGACCTCGAAGGCCGAGTAGTGGCCCCCCGACGCGCCGTAGGACGGCATCGCCTCGGCGAGCCGCGCGAACGCGCGCCCGCCGACCGTGCCGATGTAGTCCGCGTCCTGCCAGAGGTCGAAGTCGAAGTTGTGGCCCGCCCTCGTGACGAGCACCTCCCCCGTCGCGTCGGGCCAGGACGCGGCGCCCGTGCCGTTCGCGCCGCCGAAGACCGGCAGGCCCAGGAGCGCGGAGACGTTCCGCGGCAGAAAGTGCACCGACGTGACGTCCGCGCCCGTGCGCGCGCGGTCCCAGTCGACGCTGTTGAGCCGGAAGGCCAGCGCGTAGTGCTCCATGCTCACGGTCACGGGCTCGAGCATGGACGGGATCACCACCTCCGTGCGCAGCGTGAACACTTCCATTAGGTCCTCCACGGCGAGCGTCGGCAGCTGCGCCGCGGACTTGAGGGGCTCCAGATGGTCCGCCGCGAAGCGCTGGAGGTGCCGCTCGGCGGAAGCGAGCGCGGCGCCCAAGGCGACGAGGGCCCGGAGGCCGCGGCGCGCGGGGGCCATCGTGGTGACCTGTGGCAATTTCTCCCTCGTTGACTTCGGCAACTTTAGCTTCAGATTTTCGAACAACGATGGGCAGCTTCCACGACGCGAGCGACGGCCCGATCCCGCAGCACATGCTCGACTCCATGCCGCCGGAGATCCGCGCCTGGCACGACAAGATGATGCACCAGCAGGCCCGCGGCCGGCCGGCGCTCTTCGCCGACGAGCCCAGCCCGCCCTGCGAGCATCTCGACTACGGCCGCATCGTCTCCGCGCCGCTCAGCTGGATGTCCTTCCGCGGCAAGACGCCGGTCTACGTGCGCATCGGCGGCCTCACGAGCGAGCGGGGCCGGCACATGAACGGCAAGTGCGGCTGGGCCGTCAAGGCCACGGGGAAGCTCGCGGACCTGTCGCCGGACTCGCGGCGCGAGGCGGCGTCCGCCGAGGGGAAGGATCGTCGCCCGGAAACGCGCGCGACGTTCGTAGGCTCAAGGTCGTCTACGTCGACGACGCCGACGAGCCGGGCACGCTCGCGGAGGCGGAGCGGAGCGCGTCGTCGAAGGCCGCGAATCTCAAGGTCGCGAACCTGCGGCTCGCGCGCGCCGTCGTCTCCGCGGAGCCGCCGGCGCGCACGCTGCTCTCGGCGCTCGCGGGCGACGCGTCGGCCGCGCCGCCGGAGCGGGGCTTCTTCGTCTTCTATCCCGGCCTCCGGCTCGGCGCGGCGCGGGCGCTGACCTTCGAGGAGGCGCTCCGCGTCGACGTCGCGAAGATGGGCAACTGGGGGTCGCAGATCGCGACGGCGGCGACGGAGGCCGCGATGAAGCGCAACCTGCAGGCCATGAAGGCGGAGCAGGGCCTGCCCCCGACGGCCTGGGACCCCCTGCACGGGCCGGGCTGGCCGGGCGTCTACACGGACCGCGCGTCGCGGGGCGTCGCGGACGCGGACCCGGCGGACGTCGTCGCGTGCCGGTCCGCGCTCGAGGCCTGGGCGCTCTGGTCCGAGGTCGAGTCCTTCGCGCGCGCGAACGCGCGGCGCGGGACGAACGGCGCGATGACCCTCCTCTTCGAGGGCGGCGGCGCGGCGCGCGTGAACCCCTTCTACGCGCACATCCCCTACTGTGTGCCCATGCGCGCGCGCCTCGCCCCGGGGACGACGGACGAGGCCTGGGAGGCCGCGGTGCGCTGGCTCGTCGCGCACTCGGCCGTCGGCGTCGACCAGGCGACGAACGACATCGGCCTCGGCGTGCTCGGCGCCTACGTGATCCCCGGCGACGACGTCGCGACGGGCGTCGCCATGTTCGCGACGCAGGGGTCCTACGCGCCCGAGGACTTCCTCAACAACTTCGCCGGCGACCGGGCGAACTTCGCGCTGACCGTAAACGGCCGCCGCGCGTCGCTCGAGGAGGGCCGCGCGGCCTTCAAGGCCGGCGACGACGCCGCCGCGCCCCTCGACAAGCCGAAGCGCCGCGAGTGGAGCGCGCTCTGCGCGTCGCCCTGCGGCCGCTTCGCCTGCGCGAGCTGGTGGCTCGACGGCTCCAACCACGACTTCGACGACGGCGCCGACCTCGAGCTCGCCTAAGCCCATAAAGAGGCGCGGTTACACAGGCGAACGAACAGGGGGCGCCGAGGAACCCTAGATCGGCGAGTAGGTCGTCGGCTCGGCCGCGTCGAGGCCGCCGTCCCTCGAGTTCGCGAACGCCGCGTACAACGCCGCGGCCCAGAAGGCCATGCCCATCCCAAAGTAGACGCGCAGCATGACGTCCGACACGAGGATCATGCCGAGCGTGTAGTTGCAGAAGACCGCGCCGTAGCCGACGCCCGACGCGACCTTGTAGGTCTGCGTCGCGAGCGGCACGGGCAAGACGCCGACGCCGTAGGCGCTCGCGACGACCGCGAGCGCGAAGGACACCATGCCCAGGTCGAACTCGCGGAAGATCGTCAGGAGCGTCGCCCAGAGCCAGAAGACGAGGCCGACGACGCCCGTCACGACGCCGAGCTTCACCATCTCCCGCGGCCGCATGCTGTCGACGAAGTCCGACGCGAGGAACTTCTCGGCCGCCCAGAAGCCGCCGCCCGCGGCGAGCACGAGGATGACGGCCGCCGGCAGGCCCGCGTAGCCCATCGTGGCGCGTTACTACGGCGCGGTCGCTAGGCGGGACGCGCTTCGGCTGCCGACGAGCGCAGGCGAGCGGCGGCGGCTGTCAATATTGCCACACCCTGGCGCGATCGCTGAAGAGGGGGGGTGTTGCTCCGCCACTGGCGTCGGCGGCACCCCTGCGTGCGGAGCGGGGTGGTACATCTTACGCAACGTAAATGGCCTACCCCAGCCGTCACACCGACGTCGCACCCAAAACCAAGGGGCGTATCCAACGCCATCGATGGTGACGCGCTTCGCTGGCACGGACTTGTACGCCGCGGCAGCCCCGCGGAGACGAGGCCCGCGCGGTGGAATTTGGTCGACGCCAGAACCACCTCCGATGGGGGCACCGACGGTCAGGCTTACGCCTAGGGGTCATGGAAGGCCACTCCGACCACCAGAGCGGGCTGCCGTGCGTCGGAAGCTTGGGCTCAGAGGTCTCCGCTCCCGGCCCGCGCGTACGTGTTTGGTACTCAAGCCAGCGAAACGGCTAGCCATTCGTCCCAATCCGAGCGCTTGCTTTTGTCACGTATAGCCACCGGGCGTCCCTGGCCGCTAGCCAAAAACCGCACGTTCGGGCGTCCGACGCGTCGGCCATCGGACGCCGTCGCCGGAGCAAGACCCCCCATGCTGAAGCCAGCGACGCCGGCAACGATGACGTTCTCGTCGACGATGTGCTCATTGATGTGCTCGTTGGCGCTCCTCGCGGCCGTCGCCGGCGCCTTCACGGCGACGCCGCGGCGGCTCCCCGTCGCCCCGCGACGAACGGTCCAAAGAACGGCGCCGCCGCGCATGCTGTTCCTCATGGAGGCGCCCTTCAAGGCCGACGCCCTGCAGTGGGCCAAGGAGACGTCGCGGACGCAGCGCGCGCCCAAGTGCGCCGTCGTCGCGTTGTACGACGACCAGCGCTCCTGCGTCTACGTCGGCGCCTTCGACGACCTGGCGCTCGCCGTCGCGTCGCTCTGCATCAAACACGGCCGCGACGTCGTCAACGGCCTGCGCCAGGAGGAGTTCCCCGCGGAGGTCTTCGCCGACGACGAGGGCCGGCGCATGATGGAGAGCCTGGTCGGCGCCTGGGTCGGCGAGGCGACGGAGGACAACAACGGCGTGAAACCCTACGGCAACGCGGACGCCGGCTGGGCCGAGTTCGACAGGACGGCGAACCCGTTCCTCGCGGGCTACCTCGGCGCCGAGGGCGAGGGCATCGCGGCGCTGCTCACGGAGGAGGAGCTCGCCGAGGAGAAGCTGCAGAATCGCAAGGAGAACATGAAGAAGCAGCTCGACGAGGCCGTGCTCTCGGGCGACGAGACGCTCGCGCGGAAGCTCATCCGCCGCATCGGCAAGATGGACGACGGCCTCGACGTGCCCGACGACGACGACGACGACCTCGCGTAACTCCGGGGCTTAGGTCGGCGCGAGGAGGTCCGCGTCGACGAGCGACGGGGGGTCCGCGGCGCCCGCGCGCGCGTCGACGACGAGCGGCGGGGGGTCGGCGGCGCCCGCGCGCGCGCCGCGCGCGAGGTCGAGGCGGTCCGCGAGGTACGCGCGGCGCTGGTCGCGCGTGTCGAGGCGCTCCCACTCGAAGTGGGGGATGTTGACGACGCGCCAGCCGAGGGCCTCGAGGAGCCGCCGCTTGCACCGCGTCTTCCCGTTGGGCCGCGGCGCCGCGGCGCCGGCGAGGTAGTGCGTCGGGCCGTCGTACTCGACGGCGAGCTTCGCGGCGGGCACGGCCATGTCGAGGCTCAGCCCCTGGGGCGTGACGTGCTCGAAGTCGTGGGCCAACAACTCGGCGAGGCTCTCGGAGACGTCGCGCTGCGCCTGGCTCGGCGCGGCCGCGTCGGCGACGAACGCGGCCCGGAGCGCGTCGGCGTCGTCGAGGACGACGCGGGGCAGGGCGTGGTCCGGCGCCTCGGCCTCGGCGAAGATGGAGACGTGGTGCCACATCTTCCGCTGGTCGTCGTCGAGCGCGTCGACGGAGTCGGCGATCGCCGCGAAGAGCTCGGGCGCCGCGACGCCCGCCGTCGAGAAGGACCAGGCGACCTGGCTCAGGGCGCCCACGTCGAAGGACCCCAGGCGCCGGACGGACGCGTCGGCGACGGCGCGGAAGAGCGCCGCGTCGCCGCGACCCGCCATGGCGAACGCGTACGCCAGATTCGCGAGGTTCTGCGGCCGGAAGCTGTAGATCTTGCGCGGCGCCTCGCGCGCGAGCGCGTCGAAGAGCCGCGGCGCGTCCCGGCCCGCCGTCGCGAAGGCCCAGGCCGTGTTGCCCAGGTTCTGCGGGTTGAACGAGTCGAGGCGCCGCGGCGCCGCGCGCGCGATCTCCGCGTAGAGCGCGGGCGCGTCGCGGCCCGCCGTCGCGTAGGCCCAGGCGAGGTTCGCGAGGCCCTGGGCGTTGAAGTCGTCGATGCGGCCCGCCGCCTCGCGGGCGATCGCGTCGAAGAGCGCCGGCGCGGCGCGGCCCGCGGTCGCGTAGGCCCACGCGGCGTTCGCGAGCGCCTGCGCGCTGAAGGCGCCGAGGCGCGGCGCCGCCGCCGCCGCGACGGCGTCGAAGAGCGCCGGGGCGGCGTAGCCCGCCGTGGCGAAGGCCCAGACGAGGTTCGCCAGATTCTGCGGCGCCGCGGTCGCGAGCTGTCGCGGCGCCGCGGCCGCGACGCCCGCGAAGAGGGTTTCGTCGTTTCGCCCGGCCTTGGCGAAGGCCCAGGCCGTGTTCGCCAGGGCCTGCGCGTTGAAGTCGCCGAGCTTGGGCGCCGCGGCGGCCGCGAGTGCGCCGAAGGCGTCCGCGTCCCTCCGGCCCGCGGACGCGTAGGCCCAGGCGACGTTTGCGAGCCCCTGGGGATTGAGCTCGTCGGCGCGCAAGGCGACCTCGGCCGCGAGGGGCGCGAAGAGCGCGTCGTCGCTCCGGCCGGCGCGCGCGAAGGCCCACGCGGCCATCGCTAAGCCCTGCGGTCGGAACTCGCTCAGCCGCGGGCCCGCCTCGCGCGCGAGCGCCCCGTAGAGCCGCGGCGCGTCGTAGCCGCCCGCGGCGAAGCTCCAGGCGAGGGTCGCGAGGTGCTGCGCGTCGCAGGCCGGGAGCTTTCGGAGCGCCGCGGCTTCCAAAGCGGCGAAGAGCCGCGCGTCGCGCACGCCCGCCTTCGCGAAGGCCCAGGCGACGTTCGAGAGCTGCTGGGGCTCGAGGAAGCGCATCTGGCGCGTCGCCTCGTCGGCGAGGGCGTGAAAGAGGATCGGCGCGCGCGTCCGCGACGTCGCGAAGGCCCAGCAGACGCTCGCGAGCCCCCGCTCGTCGAGGTCGCCGACGCGCCGCGTCAGCGCCACGCCCAGCGCGCCGAAGAGCGCCGGCGCGCGCCGCTTCGCCCGCGCGTGGGCGTAGGCCAGCGTCGCCAGCGCCTTGCCGTCGAGCGCGCCCATGGCGTCCGCCGCCGCGGCCCCGACGGCGGCCCACGTCGCGTCGGTCCCCGCGCGCGCCTTCGCCAGAGACCAGGCGAACTTCGCCAGACCGTCGCCGTCGAGGGCCGCGACGTCGACGTGCGCTTCGACCCAGCCCAGGGCGCCGCCGCCGGGCCCTTTGGCGTAGGCCCACGCGACGCGCTGCAGGTCGTCCGCGGCGAACGCGGCGCCGTCGCGCCGCGCGAGCTCGCCGGCGAGCGCGTTTCCCAGGGCCGGCGACAGGCGCCGGGCCTCGGCGAAGGCCCAGGCGAGGTCGCAGAGCTCCGCGTCCGCGAACTCGCCGAGCCGCGCCGCGGCCGCGGCCTCGATCGTGTCGAAGAGGTCCGCCGCGTCGACGCCTGGGCAGCAAAGAGAGATTCAACGTCGCTTCAATGTGAGTGTTCCGCGCGCGCGCGTCACGAGAAAAGCATCCACGCGTCGAGGCCGTTCCGAGAGATGATCGCTCGTCCAAAAATCAGCCGAAACGAGTGGAAACCGGCCGAGCTAGGAGGCTTTGAAGTTAGGAATCTCGCGCTCTTGTCCTGCCCTGGTCGACGCCGCTCTCCGCGTACGCGAAGGCCGTGTCCACGAGCGCCCGCGCGTCGAACTCGGCGACCTGCCTCAGCCCCGCGGACTTGAGCGGCTCCAGGAGCCGGCCCGGCCCGTCGAAGTTCGCCGCGACGGCCCACACGGCCTTCGACAGCTCGCCCGAGGGCGCCGCGGCCGAGCTCGGCCGCGCGAAGCGCACGCCGAGCGTCCGGCGGGATGCCGCGGGACCGCGCAGGCCGCCGGCGCCCGCGAGCAGCAGCACGAGGCACGTCGGCTTGCTCATGGCGGGCTTGCTCATGTCGTCATCGTCGCGAAGGACTCAAGCTTCATGGAGCCCTTTTTGTTGCACTTAAAGCTGCCGCCGCTACGAGAGGTCGGGCTGCCTGCCTCGCGCCTGCGCAGCGGTTCGTCGTCGCCGCCGGCCGCCCCCCGCGCTTCGTCGCGGTGCCATGGGGAACTCGCGGTCGAAGCGCGAGGACAGCAAGTACGACGACGAGGATTTAAGTTACGAGGAGGACGAGAATGCCCTCCAGTACTTGGAGCTGCACCTCACGCGGCTCATCGCCTACGCCGAGAGCGCGGACGCGTCGCTCCAGCGCGAGGTCGCGGAGCGGCTCGCCAACGAGGCCGTCAAGCCCGAGCGCCAGGTGCAGATCGTCGACCTGGGGGGCCTGCGGCTGCTCATCCCGCTGACGCGGAGCGCCGACGGCGAGGTCCAGCGGCTGGCCGCGCACGCGCTGGCCAACCTGTCGGTCAACGCCATGAACCAGGTCAAGATGGCCGACGAGGGCGGCATCGACGTGCTCATCGACCTGCTGGCCATCGAGTCGGTCCACGTCCAGCGCCAGGCGTCGAAGGCGCTCGCGAACATCGGCGTCAACGTGCACAACAAGGAGAAGATCGCCCGCGCGGGCGGCATCAAGCCCCTCGTGGCGCTCGCGGGCAGCTCCTACGTCGCCGTGGCCATCGAGGCCATCGCCGCGCTGGCGAACCTCGCCGTCAACGACGCGAACGAGGTGCAGATCGCGCGCGACCAGGGCAGGAAAAGAGAGCGAAATTCCCAACTTCAAAGGCTCCGATCTCGGCCGTTTTCCACTCGTTTCGGCTGATTTTTGGACGAGCGATCATCTTTCGGAACGGTCTCGAAGCATGGATGCTTTTTCCGGAACGCGCGCGCGCGGAACACTCATGTTGAAGAGAAATTGAATCACTCTTGTGCTGCCAGGCGCGCGACGGCGGGCTCCGGCCCATCCTCGAGGGCGCGGAATCGCCGTCGACGGACCTCCAGGCCCAGGCGGCGCGGGCCCTGCGCAACCTGAGCGTGAACCCGGCGAACCAAGTCAAGCTCGTCGACCTCGGCGGCGTGCCCATCCTCCAGGCGCTGACGCGGTCCTCCAACTCCCGGACGAGCCAGCAGGCCGCGCGCGCGCTCGCGAACATGGGCGTCTCCGTCGACCCCGAGCACTGCTAGGGGCGGCGCGCGCGCGCCCCGGCGTAACGCCCCCCGGCGCTCAGAGACATAATCGGCGAAGTAATTTTACGTGACAAAACTGACGTCATCATCATCACGTCATCAGAGGTCGTCGCCGCCCTTCTTCTTCTTCGCCTTCTTCGCCTTCTTCTCGGCCTTGCGTTTTTTTCGGAGCTCCTTGTCCTGCTTCGACGCCTCGAGGAACTCGCAGGGCGGCTCCGCCGCGCAGAGCCCGCAGGCCTTGGGGCAGTGGTCGATGACGTCGTTCTCGTCGGCCTTCGTGTAGTCGCTGGGCCACTTGGCGTAGGTGTCGCAGTTGTAGCCCTTGTGCTGCTTGCACGTGGCGCCCTTGAAGTCGGCGTAGAAGTGGTCGTCGACGCAGGGGCAGTCCGTCTTCTTGTTGACCTCGCGGAGCACCGCGTGGGCCATGATCGTGAGGTCGAGGAACGCGGCGCCCTTGTCCGGCAATAGACGGAAGGCGGCCTTGCCGTAGCGCTTCGACAGCGTCGCCTTGCCCCGCGCGTCGGCGTAGAGCGCGAGGTAGAAGTTGGCGAGCATCTGCTCGTCCTCGTCGTCGCTGTCGATGCACCGGTTCAGGTCGCCGAGCGCCTGGGCCGGAATCAAATCTTCAACCCGACTTCAACGTGAGCGTATGTGACAATTTCGACGCGTAGCTTTCTGCTGTGCTTCGAGAACTCGACGAGAGCAATCGATTCGTCCAAAAATCAACCGAATCGACTTCGATTTGACCGAGCTAGAGAGGTTTGAAGTTTGGCTGGAATAACCCAGCCAGTGGTTGATTTCGGCACAGCCGAGCGCCTGCTCGTTGTTCGTCATGAAGAGCTTGAAGGCCGCGCGGAGGCAGCGCTTGCCCTCGGCCCAGTCCGGGAAGATGTCGAGGTGCACGATGGCCAGCGACTTGAGGAGCTCGAACTCCTCCTCGGCGACGAGCTCGCCGTTGTTGTTCTTCATGTGGCTCGCGCCTGGGCGGCAAAAGGGTGCGACATTCCCAACTTCAAAGGCTCCTCTCTCGGCCATTTTCCACTCGTTTCGGCTGATGTTTGGACGGGCGATCATCTCTCGGGACGGTCTCGCAGCGTGGATGCTTTTTACGAAACGCGCGCGCGCGGAACACTCACGTTGAAGCGACGTTGAATCACCCTTTTCCCGCCCCGGCTCACGCCGAGCCAGATGACGCGCTCCGCCTCCTCCTCGATGGCCGTCACGTTCTCGAAGTCCATGTCGCTCACCAGAGACTTGAGCAGGCCCGCGCCGTCGCCGGTCATGCCCTTGTAGTACATGACGACGGCGAGCTGCGTCGCGTACTGGCGCCGGATCTCGCGGCCCTGCGCGTCCGTCGCGTTCGTCGCCAGCGCGACGGCGCGGCCGTACATCTCGAGGGACGCGTTGACGGCGCCCCACATGAACGCGTTGTTCGCGCGCCGCACGAGCTCCGCGGGCTCCTTCCAGAGCTCCTCTTCTTTCGCGTCGTGCGCGTCCTTGGCCTCCTTGAGCAGCTCCTTGGCCTGGAGCACCTGCGTCGGGTCGCCCGTGGGGCTGTCCTCGCCCCAGTCGATGTCGTCGAAGTCCTCCTCGTCCTCCTCCTCGACGCTCTCGACGGCCGTGGGCGCCTCGACGACGGGGGGGTCCTCGGCGTCACCCGGGGCGGCCTCGGGCTCGTCCACGGCCTCCGGCGGCGCCGCCTCCTCGGCGGCGGCGCAGGCCAGCCAGAGCGCTGCGAGCAGACCGAGCGGCGACCGCATGGCACCAGTTCCAGCGCCTTTTCCGGATGCGGGCGCCGCGTGGAGCGCGGTAGCCACTCAGCCGCTCGAGCTTCGGACCTCGGGGCTGCCAATGTTTGCCGGTGCGGGGATCGTGCCGGATCGGCCGGCTGAAACTCGATCTTGAAACTCGGAGGAAGGCAGAGCGAGATGGCCATCGACCCGCTGCCAACGCCGACCGCACATCCCACACGTCCCGCGCTGCGCCAAAGCCGCGGGTGACCACGCTGCCAGCGCCGACCACACATCCCGCGCTGCGCCAGAGCCGCGGGTGACCACGCGATGTCCCGCCTACGAAGAAACACGACGCTCCGCGCGCTCCTCGTCTGCCTCGCCGCGGCGCGCGCGGAAAACCCGCGCCCGGATATCCTCTTCATCCTCGCCGACGACCTGCGGCCGTCCTTCGGCGCCGCCTACGGCGACGGCAAGTCGGGCATCGCGACGCCGCACCTCGACCGCCTCGCGGCGTCCTCCGTCGTCTTCGACCGCGCGTACTGCCAGGCGCCGTCGTGCAACCCGTCGCGGTCGAGCTTCATGAGCGGCCTCGCGCCGGACACGTCGAAGATCTACTGGTTCGAGGCGGAGCCGGACGAGGCGAAGATGCCGTCGATCTTCCAGGCGCTGCGGACCTCCGGCTACGTGTCGCTCGGCGTGGGCAAGCTCTGGCACCGGAACCCGAACGCCGAGGAGGCCGCGCTCGCGTTCTCGCCCGAGAACGGCGACTTCTTCCCGCGAACCTACCTCCAGGACTGGGGCTCCCGCGAGGGCGTGGCGCGCGGCTGCGCGCCCGGCGTCTGGGGCTGCGTCAACGGGCGCGTCCTCGCGGAGGCATGGGACGACCCGGACCACTTCTTCGACAACAAGGTCGGGCGCGTCGCCGCGGAGAAGCTCGAGGCGGCGGCCCGCGCGCGGCGCGCGGGCGCGCGCGCGCCCTTCGTCCTCGGCGTCGGCTTCCACCACCCGCACCTCAAGTGGCACGTGCCCCGGGACCACTGGGAGAGGCACGCGAACGCGTCGGTGGGCGTGCCGAAGCACCGACTCGCGCCCGCGGGCTGGCCCGTCTTCGCCAAGCCCGACGCGAACATCGGCAACGAGGCGATCTCCGTCGACGGGACGCCGATCCCCTCGGGGAGCCTCTGGCCCCTGCCCTTGGCGCAGTGGACGCGCCGGCCGCCGACGTGGGACGCGCTCCTCTACCTGCGGCGGGGCTACGGCGCGTGCGTCGCGCTCGTCGACGACAACGTCGGCCGCGTGCTGGACACGGCGCGCCGCGAGGGGCTCTTGGACAACGCCGTCGTCGTCTTCTCCTCGGACCACGGCTACGCCCTGGGCGAGCACGGCAGCTGGGGCAAGGGCGGCCTCTTCGACATGCACACGAGGGTGCCGCTGCTCATCTCCGCGCCGGGCGTCGCTCCGCGGCGCGAGGGCCGCGTCGTGGGCCTGCTCGACGTCTACCCGACGCTCCTCGACCTGGCGCGGGCGGGCGGCGGGGCCCACCTCGACGGCACGACGCTCGCGCCCCTCCTCGCGGGCGGCGCGCCCCGGGACCGCGGCCGGCGGCTCGCGGCCCGCGGCCGGCGGCCGGGCGCCGGCGGGCCGCGCGTCGTGCTCACGCAGATGATGCGCTGCTTCCGCGCCGCGGGCCAGCACAACGGCGCCTGGGGCGACTACGACTGCAAGGCCGACGACGGCGGCGCGTTCCGGAAGGACGCCTACGACGACTTCGACGGCGCCGCGGGCCCGCGGGCGCCGCTCATGGGCTACGCGGCGCGGTCGAACCGGTGGCGCTACGTCGCGTGGTGCCGCTACGACCTGGACTGCGGCGACGTCCGATGGCGCGAGCGGCCCTGGGCCGAGGAGCTGTATCGGGACGCGGACGACATCGACGACTGGGATCACGTGAACCTGCTCGCGCCGGGCGCGCCCTCGTCGCGGTCGCCCCAGCTCCTCAACATCGCCGACGCGCACCTCGCGACGCTCCGCCTCGTCGTCAGGCGGCGGCGCGAGCGGCGGAAGCGCGCGGGCCTGCCGCGCGTCGCGCGGGGCAACTGGCCCGGGCCCCAGGGCGACGTGGGCTGCGACGTCGACTGGCCGGAGATCCCGAGCGAGCTGCCGCCCCGGGCGCCGCCCGCGCCCTACCTCGTCTGGTAAGCATACTTGTAAGCATGACGTCCAAACGAGCCGGCCAGGGCCCCGCGTTCGGCGGTAAGTAACGTAGTTAAATCGACTGTCGACCCCACCTCATAGGAGTTACTTCCGCTGCTGCTGCTGCTGCATGTAGGCCATCTGCTGCGCGTACATCTGCTGCTGGTACATCATCTGCTGCTGCTGCATCATGGCCTGCTGCTGCATGTACTGCTGCTGCATCATGGCCTGCTGCTGCGGCGACGGCGCCGCCGGCGCCGCGTCGGCGAGCATGGCGGACTGCTGCGGCGCCTGCGTCGCCATCTTGGACATGGGCGTCGCGGGGGCGCGCTTCCGGCCGTCGCGGCTCTTGGGCTGCTCGCCGTTCGCCGCCAGGTTGAGGCTCACGAGCCCCATGGCCTCGGAGAAGTCGAACGCGTCCTTGGGCGGCGCGACGGTGGACGCGGGCGCCGCGGGGGGCGCGGCGAACGCGCCGACCGGCGGCGCGGGCGGCGGCGCGGCCGCGGGCGGCGGCGCGGCCGCGGCGGCCGCGGCGGCGGCGGGCGCCGCGAAGGCCGCGCCCGCGGGCGCGAAGGAGGCGTCGGGCGCCGGCGCCTGCGCGGCGCCGGCGAAGAACTGCGTGAAGCGGCGGCCCTGCGCCATCGCCGGCGGGCTCGGCGAGCTGAACGGGTCCGCGGCCGCCGGCGCGAGGGCCTGGGGCGTCGGCGGCGCGCCGAAGGCGGCCTCGGGCGCGACGGGCGGCGCGAGCGCCGGCGCCGCGGGCTCGGCGAAGGCCGCGGCGGCGGCCCGGGGCGAGAAGGACGCCGCCGCCGCGAACGACGCGCCGCGCGGCGCGGGCGCGGCGAACGGGTCCGCGCCGCCCGCCGCCTCCGGCGCCGAGCGGGTCGCCGTGGGCGTCCGGGGCGGCGCCGCGAAGGCCACCTCGGGCGGCGGCGGCGCGGGCGGCGGCGCCGCCGCCGCGGGCGGCGCGGCCGCCGCCGCGTTTTTGTACGCGAACGGGTCCGGGAACGCGCTCCCGAGCGACGACGACGACGACGCGACGGCGGGCGGCGGCGGCGCGAGGGGCGCCGGCGCGAGCACCTCGGGCGCGGCCGGCGGCGGCGCGGGGGGCGGCGTCGCGGGCGCCGCGGCCGGCGGCGGCAGCATCGACGACCGCTGCCCCGCGGCGAGCTGCGC